AGTCCCTGACTCCACAGTCAAGAGTGTTCTCCTAAATGATAAACTGTTCCCCAAGGGTTTCTACAATACCATCAGCAAAATCATCTTAACCCAACATTCCTACCAATCGAATGCCTAAATTCTAAGGGTGGTGGACTCATCAATGTGCTCCAGCAGCAATGCTTGGAGAAAGCCAGTCACTGCTATTGTAAGCTCCAGGGACACTGCCCTGAGAGTGTTCCTATGAGTCAGATTTTGAGGGGCCATGGTGACCAAGAGGGCAGTAAGCAGAGCTATGCTCGGCAACAGCAGGGATTCCTCAGGACACATTCTCGAGGCTCTGCCTCTCCAAGGGTCACTCACATGGTGTGCTGCTTGCTGTTACTTTCACATGTGGTGGGCAGGGTTAGGGTCATGTGGGTCTTCGGGGCATGTTGACCTGTCGCAGGGTCATTCCTTGCATCCTGGACTCTGACAGCAACCCGGGAAGCCTGCTTGGATCTCTCCCCAGAGTAAAGGCTGGGCCCCTGGAATCGGGGCTTGATTCCTGTCTTGTCTCTCTCCATCCATTTGAGAGTCTTGCTATGTAGCCCAGGCTGACTTCAAACTCATGATCCTCCTGCCTCAGCCTTCTGGATCCGGGATTATTTTCACCTACCACCACGCCTGGCATTCTCTTTTATTCATCCAGCAGCTACTCTGTCTACCCTGGCCCAGGGACAAAGGCAGCAGAGATGCAGAGAGGGGTCAGATTTGAACAGTAAAGCAGCCACTGACCAAGGCTCCTCCATAGGCAACCATTGCTACTCTCTACACCCCAAACTCATTCACCATGTAAACTGAGGCACAGTGCTCATGAAGCAGTAACTCCCTTCTCCCCACACTGCCGCCCAATTCTAGCAACTCTGGTGTGTCTTCTGTCTCTAGATTTGTCTACTCAGAGTATTTCCTGTAAGCTGTTTTATATTCCAATTCCTTTTCTGCCCAGCCTAGCGTGTGTGTGTGTGTGTGTGTTTGTGTGTGTGTGTGTGTGTGTGTTTGTTTGTGTGTATGTGTGTGTCTGTGTGTGTCTGTGTGGCTGTGTCTGTCTGTCTGTGTGTCTATCGCTGAATAATGCTCCACTGGGCAGATTCACAACTTGTTGCTGACGGATGTTTGGGTTGCTCCCATCCTTATGAACATGGCTGTAAAAGTATCTGTTCTGCTTTCTTCTTCTTTTTGATTCGTTTATTTTTATTTATTTATTTATTTTTTGCATTGGTGTTTTGCCTGCATGTATGTCTGTGTGAGGTTGTCAGAACTTAGAGTTACTTAAGTTCTGATCTGCCATGTGGATGCTGGGACTTGCCCCGGGTCCTCTTAACCACTGAGCCATCTCTCCAGCACCCTGCTTCCTGTTACTAAGTGCAGGGTCTATACTTAGGAGTGGAATTACTGGGTCAAGTGGTCAGTCTGGGTTCAGCTCTTTGAGCACCTGCCCCCTACTGGCCCTCTGACATCAGTTTGTACTGCTGACAATGTACACGGTTCCAGTGTCTACACATCCTCGCTAATACTTCATTTCTGGTTTTGGTTTTTCAAGGCAGGGTTTCTCTGTGTAGCTGTGTAGACCAGGCTGCCTTCAAACTCACAGAGATCCGTCTGCCTCTGCCTCCCGAGTGCTGGGATTAAAGGTGTTTGCTACCACCTCCCTGTTTTGTTTTTTTAAGACAGTTTCACTATGTAGCTTTTACTGGCCTGGAACTCACTATCTAGACTAGGCTGGCCTTGAACACTCAGCTCCACCTTCCTCTGCCTCTTGAGTGCTGAGATTGAAGATGTGCGCCACCAAGCTTGTTTGTTGTGACAGCTGTGGTGCTGAGCATATCATTGTGTTCCCACCCATTTGTGGAAATGTCTATTCTAGTCCACTGCCTATTGCTTTTGTTTCATCGACATTTTGAAAAAATGTATTTTATTTTATTTTATTTTATTTTATGTATTATGGTGTTTTTCCTGCATGTTTGTTCACTGTGCATGTGAAGGGGCCAGGGGTCACCAGATCCCCAGGAACTGGAGTTACAGACGGTTGTGAGCCTCCATGTGGGTGCTGGGGACCCAGGTCCTCTGCAAGAGCAGCCAGCATTCTCTAGGCCCTTGTTTGATTGGTTTTGAGACAGGGTCTTATTGTGTGGCTCAGGCTGGCCATGGACTCACAACTATCCTGTCTCAGCCTCCTGAGCACTGGAATTTAGACATCCACCACCACACCCAGCTTTCTTACTAGTTATTATTTTATGTGTATGCCTGCATGTATGTATGTGCACCGGTGTGCAAGCCTGGTGCCTACAGAATTCAAAAGAGAGGGATCGGTTCCCCTGGTAACAGTGTTACGGATAGCTGTGAACCATTATGTGGGTGCTGGGAACTGAATCCCGTCCTCTGCAAGAACAGCAAGCGCTCTAAACCCTTGAGCTCCCTCTCCCTGCCTCTGCTGGTAAGCTGCAAGTGTTCTTCTCTTCTGCATACTGGGTCACTAAGTATGTGATTTGATGGCTTTTTATTCTGTACTTTGAAACATAATATAATATATATTAACATAATATATAATGTATATTAATGCAAACCCAGAGATAAGATACTGGGGTTCAAGCTGAAGATCAGAAAAGCAAAGCAGCCAGCCACTAGCTCTTAACTTTTACCTCAGACCGAAATGGGCAATCCTGCCTCCAGGAATCCTTAGAGTGCAACCCTCTGGGTTCCTCTCTCTGCCCAGCCACATCACTCCTGTACCCACCCACCTAGTGCTGGGATTAAATGCATGTGATCCCAGGTGCTGAGATCACCTTTGTGTGAGCTGGTTCTCTTTTAGGTTGGATCAATGTCCTGTAGCTCAGGGTGGCCTTGAACTAACAGATCCATGCTCAGGGTGGCCTTGAACTAACAGATCCATCTGCCCTTCTCCTGGTCCCTGGGATTAGAGGTGTGTGCCACCACCACCTGGCCTCCATGGCAGTGGCTTTGTTAAATCATAAACAATACGTATCACCTCAGTACTTTGTCCCTTTACTTTCTTTTTGCTGTCCTCTGATGCATGGAAGTTGCTGGCGACCGAGCCCCAGGACTTGAACACGCTTGGAAAAGCAGTCTGCGTGTGAGCTGTGCTTCTCTCCCATCCTGCACATGTGTGTGTGTGTGTGTGGTCTGCGTGTGTACATGTTCACGTGGAAGTATGCCTGCTGGTGTGGGTGCCTGTGTGTGCACACACGTGTGGAGGGCAGAGATTGACTGACCCTCTTCCCCAGTCATTGGTTCTCAAACACTTTTTGGAGGAATGGAGGGTTTCAGACAGGGTTTCTCTATGGAGCTTTGTCTGTCCTGGAATTTTGCTCTGTAGACCAGGCTGGTTTTGAACTTAAAGAAATCTGCCTGCCTCTGCCTCCCAACTGCTGGGATTAGAGCCATGCATCACCACTGCCCAGATCAACACTCTAATTTTATTTATTTATTTATTTATTTATTTATTTATTTATTTATTTATTTGAGACAGGGTCTCATAGCCCTGGCTATCCATAAACTCACTTTGTAGACCATGTTAGCCTTGAACTCATGGAGATCCTCTTGCTTCTGCCCCCAGACTGCTAGAGTTAAAGATGTGATGGGCATCTGGCTGTCTTGCCATCTCCCTCTCTCTCCTCCCCTCTCCCCCTCTCTCCCCTGAACCTAGAATTCACTGACTGAGCTGGTCTGGGTAGCCAGTGAGCTCTGAGCATTAGTCCTGTCTCTCTCCCTCCTCAGCACCAGGGTTATAGACGCATGCTGTCTTGTCTGCCTTTCCTGTGTGTGGATGCTGAGGACTAGAACTTGGCTCCTCATGTTTGCACAGCTAAGTCATCTTCTTGGCCCCTAGACTTATTTTTTTTATTTATTGTATGTGTATGAATGCTCTGCCTGCATGTATGTCTGTATACCGTGTGTGTGTGTGTGTGTGTGTGTGTGTGTGTGTCTGTCTGTCTGTCTGTCTGTCTGTCTGTCTTGTGCCCCTGGAGGCCAGAAAAAAGAAATATCTTTGAGAATTTCCCAGCTATGAGAAGGCCAGGCCCCTCAGAGAAGGGGTCCTAAGCAGGACAAATATTTGAAGACAAGTCTAGGGGACTGGAGACATGGCTCAGTGGTTAAGAGCACTAACGCTGCTCTTACAGACCAGAGTCCCTCCAATTTCCACCACCTATGTCAGGCAACCCACAGCTGCCTATAACTTCCAGGGGATCTGACACCCTCTTGTGGCCACCCATGGTCCCTGCACTTACATGCGCACACCCACATATAGACACCCACACACACACACACACACACACACACACACACACACACACCGTGTATGCATAATTAAAAACAAAATCCTAAAAGCTAGAAGTGGTGGCACTGGCCCATAATCATAGCACCCAAGGGACAGAGGTCGGTAGATCCAAGTTCAAGGCCAGCCTGGTCTCCAAAATGAGACAGTTCCAAAACATTGCCTGGTTTACTGTAGTGCCCTATCCTTTACCGTTGCTTCTGTTGAACATGGGGTGGGGGAGATCCACTGGGCCAGAGTCCATTCTACATTAATGTGTAGGCTTAGCGGGGTGGGGTACCCGGGAAGAAGTAGTAAGTTATGAGTCCTCACCCTCCTTAACGTCCATGGTCTCCAGGAAGCGATACCTACAGAGGAGGTCAGCTCTGGGACAGCTGAACACCATCCTCCTCGTGGCTCGACCCCTGCTCCAGACGCGGCGGAGGCGGCAGGTAAGAGGGTTGAGGGGGTGCTTCTGGACTGTGGGAAAACTCAGGGTAGAAGCCAGGTGCCTTGCCTGGCCGAGAGGGAGGGACCCTGGCAGCCTAACCCAGACAAGACCAAACACCAGAGACCACGCCCTGCTGAGCCCCTCCATTCCCTGCTCTGGCTGGGGCAGGCTGAGGCCCTGATGGCGGTTGTCTTCATCTTGCTACCCTTGTGCCTCCAGGCCTGGCTCCCGCTTTCTCCCTGGGTCCCTCCTGTCCCCTCCAGGTTCCCGTGGGCCCCCTTCTGTTCTCCCTTGTGTCTGATGACTCCAATTTGAGAGCCATAAAGTGGCTCAAAGGTCAATGCCCACATTCTGCCCCCCTCCCTGGCTCCTCCCTAGCTGGACTTTGTCCCCTGGGACCATTTAGTCCCTTCTTCCTTACCTCTTCCCGGTACCCGAGCAGATTGGCAGTGACGTCCACAGCTAGGAGACAGACGGTGAGAGCTTGGAGAGGGGTAGAGGTGGGTGAAGTCAGGCAGCTGAACCCTTCTGGGTTTACGGCAGTGACATGCCTTTGCTAAGATCAGGGTCTCCTGGGGACAGGAGGGGACGCTGAGCTGCTGAGTCAAGGGTGGGCTGCTAGTGGTGTAGGGGCATCAACTCTCGCCTGGATCTCTCCCACAGCTTGGGCATTCCCGTGGCCCGCACAGCGGGGAGGCCTGGGGAGAACTGTCAATTATGGTGAGTAGTCTGGGAGTCCCATGTGGAGTGTGAACCCTGAGCCTGGCATAGCGGGGGTGGGGTGGGGTACACAGGGAGCCATCAGGGGTCCTGTCCCTCATGTGCCTCTGAGCAGAGGACTGGGGTTTGCTTGATTTCCTCAGAGGCTCTTGGGGACCTGGTCCTTTGTTCTCGGGCTGTGTCCCTGATGTTTAAGGGCAGAATGGAGAGCAGAGGCTGGTGCACCCAATCCTCCTCAACTCTCCCTTAGTTCCTGATTTTTTGGTTCTCTCCACCAGGACCTGGGGCGTGTGGAGATCCCAGCCCAGCTGGCGGCTCTGCTGGAGACAGCAGAAGGTGTGTCATCTTAATGTCTGGTGGAGTCCCCTACGCAGGGCTTCTCTGGTCCAGACCTTTTTCTCTGAGCCACCCACAGTCACTCTGTCCACGGTGGCTGGCAGCTTGACAGGGGGGGGCTGGGGATCTGAGTGTCCTAGACTACCTCTTGTGTTTCTTTCCAGGCCACCAGGCCACCCTGGCTGGGACCATCACAGAGTCCCTGCCACCTGGGGTTCCTATCCGGCCCAGCCTGACCCTCCCTCCGGACATTGACCAGTTTCCTTTCTCCAGCTTCGTGTCCTCCAGCTTTCGGGTGAGCCCCTCAGTGCCCCTGCACTCCGGAAGCTCCAGCATAGCACCTGCCAGGCAGGAGCAGACCTCCGCCTTCTATTGCCCTCTATTGTGGTCATCAGAGCTGCCTGGAAAACAAAACAGTCTTTACACAGTAGTTACATAGAAGCCTGCCACAGACTTACTCTGGCCACACCTTTCCTGTACCTGTGGCATTGTCTTGCATTGAAATTGTGTCCTTAATGAAGGTTTAATGGTGAGGGAAACTCCCAGGCCAGAGGGTTAAATACAAAAGCAGGAATCACAACAAAAATTTCTCTGTACTAATATAATTATGATTTTTTGGGGGGTGGGCAGGGTCTCATTATGCACCCCTGTTGACTGGAACTTACATGTAGACCAGGCTGGCCCCAAACTCAGAGATCCAACTGCCTCTGCCTTAAGAGTGCTGGGATTAAAAGTGTGTCATCATGCCCAATCCTATTTTAATAAAAAAGTTAAAGGCAGGGTCTTACTTTGGTAGGTCTGGCTGGCCTGGAACTCCTTACAGAGATCAGCCTCTCTCTGCTTGCCCACCCCCCAAAAAATCATAATTATATTAGTACAGAGAAATTTTTGTTGTGATTCCTGCTTTTGTATTTAACCCTCTGGCCTGGGAGTTTCCCTCACCATTAAACCTTCATTAAGGACACAATTTCAATGCAAGACAATGCCACAGGTACAGGAAAGGTGTGGCCAGAGCAAGTCTGTGGCAGGCTTCTATGTAACTACTGTGTAAAGACTGTTTTGTTTTCCAGGCAGCTCTGATGACCAAGTGCTGGGATTAAAGACATGGACACTATACCAGCTTGGTGTCAATTTTTAAATTAAACAATTGGAGATTCTCAGTGGGTAAAAGAGCTTCATGTGGACCTGAATTAAAATCCATAGCACCCATGTAAAAAGCCTGGCATAACCAGGTGTACATGTCACCCCAGCATTAGCAGGAAATGTGAGTGGATTCCTGGAACCTGCTGGCCAGCCAGTCCATGCAAAACGACAAGCTCTTCAGTTCAGTGACAGACCCCACCTTAAGGCAAATAAGCAAAGATGCCTAGCATCCTCTTCCGGCACACGCCTGCACATGCATGTCTGTATGACACGCACACATGCATCCACACGCATGCGCACTAGCTTCTGTCCTCTTCCTTGGGTGCATGCTCCCAGGCCGCTCCTCGAGGAGTGGCCTCTCTGACCAACTCAGAGGACAAGCACTATATCACCCTCTCTCCTTTCCTCCCTCCAGAAGCCATATCTGCCTAGACCAGGACAGTTACTGGATGAGCCGCTGACCCGGATGGATGGCGAGAACCCTCAGCAGGCTCTGGAGATCAACAGGGTGGTGAGTGATGGGATGGATGGGCGGGTGGCCACTATGAGGACTGGGAAGGTACAGGGGCGCCCTGAGCTTCCTACCCTGCCCCTGCTTTTGTATCAACAGATGCTGCGGCTCCTGGGGGAGGGGTCCCTGCAGTCCTGGCAGGAACAGACCATGGGCACATTCCTGATTGGGAAGGCACTGCACCGGCCGGGACTTCGGGATGAGCTCTTCAGCCAGTTAGTGGCCCAGCTGTGGCACAACCCAGATGAGCAGCAGAGCCAGCGTGGCTGGGCCCTGATGGTGGCCCTCCTCAGCTCCTTCCTCCCTACGCCTGCCCTGCAGAAGCCATTGCTCAAGTAAGGAGCCCAGTGGATGGGGCTCTGAGTGGGGTCCACATACCCCACCAAGCTTGCAAGCAACCCTGTGGCTGTCCCCACAGGTTTGTGTCTGACCAGGGCCCCCGGGGCATAGCAGCACTGTGTCAGCACAAGCTGTTGGGTGCCCTGGAGCAGACACCACTGGCTCCCATGGCCTCAAGGGCCCACCCACCCACACAGCTAGAGTGGAAGGCTGGATTACGGCGGGGCCGGATGGTGCTGGATGTGTTCACGTTCAATGGTAAGGTCTGCCTTCCTCAGTCAGTGGAGGCCTTCTGCTCTTCCTGGCCTTGTCCGTGCCCTGTGACCCTCACCCTCCCACAAACCCCCACAGAGGAAAGCTACTTGGCAGAGGTGGAATCCTGGACCACGGGAGAGCAGCTTGCCGGGTGGATCCTACAGAGCAGGTATGGGGAGCCCAGGATGGGACGGGATAGCCGGTGCTGACCACTGACCCTCCCAGCCTGCTCTCTCAGTGCATGGCCCCCAGGGCTCGGAGGACACTGCTCCTCAATGAATAGGAAGGGAAGGTTTTAGGGTCAACGGGCAGGCTCCAACTGTAGCTTCCAGAGAGAGAGAATGGAGATCCTAAGTGAGGGAGGGGCTGTGGGACAGCGTAAGGCCCATATCCTAGCTCCATAGAGGAGCAAGTGGAAGTGTTCAGAGCCTGGGGTTAGCCAGGAGGATTTCAAGGTTCAAATGGGAGCGCAGTCTGAGGCTTCTGAGTGAGGCTGGCTCACGCCTGGGGTTGGGGACATCATCAAGTCATCAAATAAGGCTCGCCTCCTATGACACTCGGCTTTGACCTCTACTGAAGGGTGTCGTCTGCCATTGCCTCTCCCTGACCACTCTTGTCCCACCCAGAGGCTTGGAGGCGCCCCCTCGTGGCTGGTCTGTGTCACTACACTCTGGGGAGGCTTGGCAGGACTTGGCTGGCTGCGACTTTGTGTTGGACCTGATCGGCCAGACTGAGGACCTGGGAGGCCCAGCTGGTCCCCACTACTACCCCATCACTCCTTTTGGCTTGTAGGTGCCACCCGCCCGCCCTTCCCTGTCCCCAGAGGTTGTGGATGGCCCAGGCCTCCCGACTTCGCCCTCTTAACTAGTCCCACTGTCCTGCAGAGCCGAGGACATCCCTCCAGCCCCTGGTGTTCAGGCTCCCTCCTTGCCCCCAGGACTCCCTCCAGGCCCAGCCCCAGCACTGCCCGGCAGCAGCCTCCCAGGTAAGGCACCAAGACATTGGTAGAGTACTAGGAATGGCCTCAGAGGTAGATGCAGCGATGTACCCACCCTTGCCCCCACAGGTGAGGCCAGGAAGCCCGGAAACCTGGATGGTTTCCTGGACCACCTCTTCGAGCCAGTTCTCTCCTCGGGCTTTAGTGTGAGTAGCCTACCTTCGCTCTCCTTTGCTTTGGTGCTGGGGCATGGACACCTCTTCTGTTTCTCCCGGGCTCTAGCTCTGACATCGAACAACCTTCCCTTCAGGATCTGGAACAAGGCAGGGCCCTGAGTAGCCGCATGAAGGGAGGGGGCTCTATTGGACCCACCCAGCAGGGCTACCCCATGGGTGAGTAGAGATGGTGTCTCTCCGGGGCTTCTCAGGCCCAACAGCAGGGGTGGCCTGAATCTGCACAGGCAACTGAGGTAGGAGCTCTGGCCAGTACCTCGGAGTCAACACTTTCCTCTTTGCCTGGGGCTGGAGGGAGGCGGAGGTGTGTGGGGCCAAGCGGGAATGGACCTGAGAGACCTTATTCCCTTAGTGTATCCAGGTATGATGCAGGCGCCGAGCTACCAGCCAGCGATGATGCCCGCACCTGTGCCCATGATGCCAGCAGTGGGTACAGTTCCAACCATCCCGGGTGAGGCTGGATTGAGGGCACCAGGAGCTTCTTTCGGGGCTGATGGTGGGGGAAGGCTTCAGCCCGGGAGTCCAGATGGCACCGGGATCGAGAGATTCAAACCTGGCATGACACTTAACCCTGCTCTGGACATCTATCTCCTCGCAGCCATGATGGTCCCGCCACAGCCGCAGCCTCTGCTTCCCAGTTTGGACTCAAGGCAGCTGGCGGAACAGCAGCAGAATTTCATCAACCAGCAGGCCATGATCCTGGTAAGACCCGTGTGGCTGGAGCCGCGGGGCTGCCCGGCTGCCTGGGGGGTGTGGGCATGGGGGCGGGACCAGCCCAGGCCCTTACTGGCTTGCCTCTCCCTTTTCTCAGGCCCAGCAGATGACCACCCAGGCCATGAGCCTGTCTCTGGAGCAGCAGACCCAAAGGCGCCAGCACCAAGCTCAGGCCCCGGGGGCTCCCCGCCAGACTTCACCCCCAGCCGTGGCCCCACCCCCAGCCGTGGCCCCACCCCCAGCCGTGGCCCCACCCTCAGCCGTGGCCCCACCCTCAGTCGTGGCCCCCAAGCCCAAGAAGCCTCCTGCCTCCCAAGAGAAGCCAGAGAGTGACCCAGAACCTTTGGAAGCTTACTATAGAGTAAGGAGGCAAGGCTAGGCAGACTTGTGGGCCTGGGTCTGGTCAGGGGTGTGGCGGCAGGTAGGTGCCAGACTTACCAAGATGAGACATCGGGAAGGTAGGCAGGATTGGTCCAGGAAACCAAGGGGGATGTTGAGAGATCGGGCCGTGGCTAACTGGGGGATGCTCGTTGTTTCTCCTTCTGCCAGGAGGACACTCCAGAGGAGACTAAAGGCAGGACTCAGCGCCCCAGGAGCTTCCAACAGAAACGGGACTATTTCCAGAAGATGGGTAAGGGTGCTCGGGGTGACAGCCATTCGGAAGTGTATCCGATGCCTGTAGCCTGGGGAGGGAAGGCCATACTCTGCTCCCCTGACAGTGTGGCCTGTCCCGGAGCCCAGAGAAGCCCTACAGTACTGAGTAAACACAGGTGACAGAGAAGGTCTTCTGTGACATTTTCAGGGCAAGAGCCAATCAAGGTAAAGACGGTGAAGCCTCCAGCCAAGATTCAGATCCCCCAGGAGGAGACAGACGAGGAGGAGGAGGAGGAAACGGCAGGTAGGCGTGGAGGGCTGTGGCACCTGTGGCTTCAGGTAGCAGGTACACAGTACTCAGTTACCCTCATTCTCCACAGCAGAGTTGTCCCCTCCACCTCCTCCCCCAGTTGTGAAGAAGCCACTGAAACAGAGTAGGTCCAACACTGCCAAGGATGAGGTAGGACCAGCAGAGAAGGAAGAGCCCACCCAGGGCAGGGCACCCACAGTGAAGAGCTCCGCACCTCAGCGCCCAACACCCAGCAAGGCACCCACGGTGTGCAGCTCCAACTCCGAGCCTCAGCGCCCGCCACCCAGCAGGGAGATCCGTAACATCATCCGAATGTATCAGAGCCGCCCAGGCCCCGTGCCTGTCCCTGTACAACCCTCCAGGTGGGCCTGGGCGGCTGTGGCCAGGCCAGTCTCTCTCCTCAGGGAGTCACCCTGTGCACGAATGTAACTTTCTCTTTTTTCCTTGAGGCCCGTCAAAACTTTTCAGAAGAAAAATGACCCTAAGGATGAGGCTTTGGCAAAGTTAGGAATCAATGGTACCCACTCGCCTCCGTCGGTGAGCTCCACAGCCATCCTCTGCAGGCCGTGGGCTATGATCTGTCCAGGAATGCTGGGCTAAACTTGGGGTTGCCAGAGCAGCTTGGCCTTGACCATAGCCCTGTGCCTTCTGCAGGGGATGTCTCCTAACCTAGGAAAGAGCTCTCCACCAGCTGTGGCTCCTCGACCCAAGGCTCGACCACGGCTTGAGCCCTCCCTATCCATCCGGGAAAAGCAGGGACCCCTTCGGGACTTGTTTGGCCCATGCAGCCCAATCCCATCCACAACTACGGGGCCCCCACTCCCACCCCCACCCCCAACCCCACCGTCTCTGCCTGAGGATCCCAAGACCCTTTCAGTGGAATCTCATGGTGAGGGATTCATGTTTCCTGTGTTGTCTCTTCGGGTTGGTGGAGGACGCACGATAGATAGCCTCTTGGGACCTAAGGCAAAAGTCATCTGTATGTGGCTGAGGCCAGCTGCTTTGGCTGCTGGACTTTGGAGCCTTAGAACCCTGGATTCCTCATTCCTATCCAGGGCAGGGCTGAGGCACCTTGAAGCCTGTCTGGCACGAAGGGACTGGCCTCTACAGGGTGTTGTCCTTGATGAAGACCTGACATGTTTTTTGTTTGTTTGTTTGTTGTTTTGGTTTTTTATGGGGAGGGGAAGAGGAACTTAGTGGCTGCAGCCAGTGTGGCCAGGGACACCAGGAAAAACTCAGGGCCAGAAATGAAGGCAGGGGTTGGTGTCAGGAGTGGCAGTCGGAGTGTCTGGAGACTGAGAAAAATGGGGACATGAGGGTCTCTGCAGCCTGGACTGTCAGCCACATCTAAGGCTCTTCTGTCCCTCCGCTAGCCTCGACAGAGCCCATGGAGGACCGGGGGATCTCCACTCAGCTCCTTGTGCCCTCGGGGAGCGTGTGCTTCTCCTATGCAAGTGCACCCTGGAAGCTGTTCTTGCGAAAGGAGGTGGGCACGGGGTTGGCAGGAGAGTTGACGGGTTGTCCCAGGTCCTTACCTGAAACCCCAGCATCCCCTTCCTGCCTGGGCAGAGGTAGGCTGGCTCGCGGGGTCAGGGCCTGGCATGATCTCGGCTCTGTCTTGCTCTTAGGTGTTCTATCCCCGGGAGAACTTCAGCCATCCCTATTGTCTCAACCTTCTCTGCCAGCAGGTGAGAGCCTTCCACACCCACCACCAACCTTCCACACCCACAGACAGACCGTATCCCAGGACCTTCGCTCAAACCTGGGCCTAGTTAAGGATCAGTGAGGGGCACAGTGGCAGCTGGCACTCAGGGGACACTATCTGCATGTAGGGCCCTGCCTCAGGACCCTTGCAAAATCGGGGCGGTTCTTAGTTTTACAAATGAGAGGGCCAAGCAAAGTGTGTGTGCGCGGCACAGGCTCTGGCATGCACGAAGTGCTTCATAGACGGTGGTTGTCTCGGTCCCCTTTGTCAGCTATGTCAAGAGCAGCAGACCATGGTGCTAAAGGAAGGGTCCCCTCTGTGTCTCTACCAGGGCCCAGCCAGCACTGCTGGCTCTGTTACACACCCACAGCTGCTGTGGGTGAGCTCTGGTCTCAGGACCTGGGGCTGACCACCTTGCTCTGCCCCCAGATCCTACGGGACACCTTTGCAGAGTCCTGCATCCGGATCTCCCAGAGTGAGCGGCAGAAAATGAAAGACCTGCTGAGTATGGTTCCTGGGAGCTGAGGCGTGGGGGCTGGACTTGCCCTGAGGGAAAGTGTCATGGGAACAAGGCTATCGTGGACCCTTCCTGCCCACAGGAGACTTGGAAGTGGGCCTGGACTCCCTCCACACTACCGAAGACGGCATCAAGAAGCGTATCGTGGTGGCTGCCCGAGACAACTGGGCCAACTACTTCTCACGCATCTTCCCAGTCTCGGTCAGCAGTGTTGGACTTGGGGAATCCAGCTCTGGGACTCTGCTCCAGGGCTCCGGGCACCTGGGCAGTACCAGGAATGACCGACACACCTGCCTCCCTGACAGGGCGAGAGTGGCAGTGATGTACAGCTGCTGGGCGTGTCTCACCGGGGACTGAGACTGCTGAAGGTGACCCGAGACCCTGCCGCCTTCCACCTGGACCGGCTGAAGACACTGTGCTCCTACAGGTGAGCCGGTCCGGAGCCTGGGCCGGGGTGGCGAGATGGCCCCTAGCTCACACCCTGACTGACTGCACACACAGCTTTGCCGACGTGCTGGCTGTGGAGTGCTGCCGTGCATCCACCCTGGAGCTGTCGCTGAAGAACGAACAGCTGATGTTGCACACAGCCCAGGCGAGGACCATCAAGGCCATGGTGGAGCAGTTCCTGAGTGACCTCAAGAAGGCAAGTGTGGGCTCTCCTTCCCTGCCCGGCTGCCCTGGGGTGAGGCTGGGCTTCAGTCAAGTGCCCGGGACTCCCCGGTACGGGTGGGAGGACATTCAAGGCAGGCAGCAGACCCCCCCCCACCCCCTGTATGCAGGACTCTGGCTACGTCATCGCCCTGCGAAGCTACATCACTGATGACCACAGCCTCCTCAGCTTCCACCGCGGGGACCTCATTAAGCTACTGCCAGTGGGCACTCTGGAGCCAGGTACTCCCCAGGCCTGCGAAGGGAGGCTGCCAAGGGGCAGAGGGGTGAGGAGGGAAAACCACCACGTGGGAAAACCACCACGTGGGAAAGCCACCACGTGGGAAAGCCATCACGTGGGAATGCCTTCTAGGCTGGCAGTTTGGCTCCGCTGGGGGTCACTCGGGACTGTTTCCTGCCGACATGGTGCAGCCAGCCGCTGCTCCGGACTTCTCCTTCTCTCTGGGACAGAGAGACAGCTGGCAACGCAAGAGTAAGCGGAGGCCAGCTCAAGAGGTGAGGAAGACAGAGGGATGAAGTGACGAAGGCATAACTAGGGGTCTCGCGAGGCAAGAGCAGGGTTGCCCCAGGTTCTGCCGACTCCCTGTGGCCCGGTGGGCACAGCCTATGGCATCTTTATCGTCTCCTGGCCTCTTGCTACGTCTCCCCAGCAAGACTGTAAGCCATACATACGGTCTCTGTGGTACTTAGTGCCTCCATTGAAGATGCTTAGTAACCGTGGCTCTCCTGGCTCTGGGGTCACCCCCAAGGGTCTAATGGGTATGGGGACCAGGCGGTGAGAGTGGGAACAGGGCCTCTGGGCTGGCACTGGGGTGGTACCGTCTCCTGTGCTTCCAGCGCGCCGCCCATCCCAGGAGCCAAGAACCCAGCGAAGACTCAGAGGCCACCTCCTTCGCAGCCTGCAGCCTTTTCTCTGCTGACTCCTACACCATGCAGGAATTTGCCCTGCGCTACTTCCGGAAGCCTCAGACCTTGTGAGTACTCGAACCGACCTCTTTGCCTGTCTGTCCTCAGTCTTCTGCAGTACAAGCACCACAGACAGATCTGCCCGGTCACGGCTCTTACTACCATAGGCTTCATGGCCTGGGACAAGGGCAGGGGCGCCAATAAGCAGGACCGTCTTTTCCTCTGCCCTCTACAGGCTGGCACAGGCAGGTAGAGGGGCCAAGGACAAGGCTGAAGTCAACCTGGTCCAGTACACCAAGGTAAGGGGCCAGGTAGGGGGCAATGGGGACTGAGGATCTGCCTTCCGGCTCCTATGGCCCTCGATCACAGCTAAGGCTCTTTGGCCACAGGACCCCATCCAGGCATCCCTGCTCAGCTTCAGCAATGAAGACATAAACAGGAAGGCTGTGGCTGGGTTCAAGGGTGAGTGGCTCAGGCGACCTTGGTCCCTACTGGCCGTGCTTTGGGCCTGGGCACCTGACTCCCTGCTCTTTGGGCTCTCCTTGGATTCAGCTCATCTGCTGGTGTAGGAAGCTCACTCCACCAGAGTATGTTTCTGTCCTGGGCTGTGTGACATCTGGGGCAGTTGATGGGTTCAGCCGGCATCCCTGAGCTTTCCCTGAGCTTTTCCTATTTCCTCCTCACTGCCTTGCCTGGCGTTACGTGCTTGGAGAGTTAAGAAGGTGTCAGAGGTCAGGCAAACTGGGAGAACAGGCCTTGCTTACTATGCCCCATATCCTACTGCAGCTCTGATGCAGTTTATGGGGGACCAGCCTAAGCCCCGCAGCAAGGATGAGCTGGATCTGCTGTACGAGCTGCTGACGGTAAGCAAGAACTGTGCTGAAGCCCTGAGCACCCTTCCTGCCTGGGTCAGAATGGGACTCTCCATCCCGGTTTCTCCACCATTTCAAAATACTTACCTTCGACGTGGCCCGATGGTGCACACCTTTAATCCCGGCACTCGGGAGGCAGAGGCAGACAGATATCTGTGAAAAAAAAAAAAAAAAACCTTTATCTTCAAAACAGTTTACAGTCTTGAAAAACCAAAACCATCCATCCATTCAACCAACCACAAAAAACAAACCTCCGCTCATAGCACTGCATCTTGGGCCATTCTGCTATTTATTAAACTGACTACAAATGCTTGCCCAAAAGCGGGGGGGGGGGGTGCACACTTTAGTAGCATGTTTGAAAATTAAAGTTTATATAAAGCCAAATACTCAACCAGTTGCCATAGGGAAGGGATTCATGTGACCCCTACCTCCTAAGCCTCCCATATTGCTGCCACTGCCAACTCTACTCCTGTACTTCTCATATGCACGCGATTGTGTGCATCTGTGGCAGTCAGAGGATAATCTGCAGGTCTTGGGGACGGAATTTAGGTCATTAGGCGTGGCAGCAAACATCTTTACCATTTACCAGCTCTACAAATACAGCTAAGATACATTGTCTCCAGTTATTTGTAAACACTCAAGCATGCACAGGTATGTATGAGAGCCTAAGTCCTGGAGTGTACAATCCCACAGGAGACAAGGGGGGCGTGGAGGCTGCTGCTGGGTGACAGGGCTCTCACAGAGGAATGAGCCATGTGTGCTGACTTTTCCAATCAAACCTATGGCTTGTTGATGGAACCACGGTTGACAGTTCGCAAGGTCACTCTGGATGTTTGATGTTCTAGGGACTACCCTGGTGACCCCAGGCGAGAGGGTGCTGGTTCCCGCCCAGAGGCAGTAGCCAGTGTGGGGGCGTATCCACAGGTGTGTGTGTGTGTGTGTGTGTGTGTGTGTGTGTGTGTGTGTGTGTGTGTGTGTGAGAAGTTGGAGCAGAGACTGACCTTAATGAGCAGGCCTGGGCTGGCAAAGGATCTGTTTTAGACACAGATCTAAAAGTACCTGATTTCCAAATGGGGTAGCCTGGAATCCAAGGGACTCTTCTAGGCTGAAGTGAGGGACCAAGCTGGATGGGAGAACTGTAGGGAGGCCAAAAGCATGCACTAGAGACCGGAAGTCAGCAAAAAGATAACCACCACAGCTCAGAGAAACAGGCTAGTCAGTGAGCAGTTCTTAGCACAGTGCTGGAGGGCATCTTTTAGCAGTGTGAATTTACTTTACACATGTTTTATTTGGTGTGTGTGTGCACGCACTCCCCTTCCACCAAGTGAACTGCTGGGACAGGACTTGGTCAGGAATGTCCTGCCACTTTGCCAGCTCCCTGCCTAGCAATTTTTAGGATTTAATTTATACGTACTCATGTGTCCTCTGCAGTCCGGGTGACCGCAGAGACTAGAAGAGGAAGAGGGCGCTAGGACCCCTGAAACTGGAGTTCTAGGCGGCTGTGATCTGCCTGATGTGGTGTTGGGAGCAGGAGCAGCAGGACCTTCTCACCAGCTCTTGTCTAGCTTCCCCTTCGTTGTTTCTGAGACAGGGTCTCTCTGTGTAACAGCCCTGGCTGTCCTGGAACTCGCTCTGTAGACCAGGCTAGCCTTGAACTCAGAGATCCGCCTGCCTCTGCCTCCCTTGTGCTAGTATTAAGGGAGTGTGCCGCCACCACCCAGCTTCTTCAGAACTTGGGTTCCCTCTCCAATGTGGGCTGGGCAAAGGCTGCCAGCTGCTGGGGCAGAGAAGAGGCGACTAATGTTACCTTCATTCAGTCCTCAGCCAACTAACAGCAGCTGTAACCATACTTATTTTCTTCGTTTTTTCAAGACAGGGTTTCTCTATGTAGCCTTGGCTGTCCTGGGGCTCCCTCTGTAGACCAGGCTGGCCTTGAACTCATAGAGATCCCCTACTTCTGCCTCCTGGGTGCTGGGATTAAATGTGTGCATGTCATCACCGCCAGGCCCACAGTTGTATCTCTAACATCAGGATCCTAGGCAGTCATCACACAGCAGCCCCTTCGGTTCGACCGCCCTGTCCCTGCCTTACCCACTCTCTCTTCCTGTTCCCACAGCTCTGCAAAGAGGACCTCAGGGATGAGATGTACTGCCAGGTCATCAAGCAAGTCACAGGACACCCCCAGCCGTGAGTGGGGCTTGTGGGGCAGGGGACTCCGGTCACAACAGCCCTGGAGTCTGGCTGGCCTGAACCCCATCTCTACCCTGTAGAAAGCACTGCGTTCTGGGCTGGAGCATCCTCAGCCTCTTTACAGGCTTCTTCGCACCATCCACCACCCTGATGCCATACGTGACCAAGTTCCTGCAGGATTCCAGCCCTAGCCAAGGTGCCTGAGTTGGGGAGAGGGGCTCCCAGGACCAAGAATGCCCCCTCCCTGCCAGTCAAGGGGCTTGGATATACCCGTGACTCCATCATTCTGACTCTCGACAGAGCTGGCCCGGAGCAGCCAGGAGAACCTCCAGCGCACAGTTAAATATGGGGGGCGCCAGAAGTTACCACCCCCGGGTGAAATGCAAGCTTTTCTGGTATTAGGACTCTCCTGTAACTGGGGGCGGGGGTGTGGGTACCGTGGCTGGAAGTGTCAACTGGACAGCAGTGACCTCTGGTTGCTGAAGACTAACCCTACAATTTACCTGACAGAAAGGGCAAGCAGTTCGCTTGCTTCTAATTCATATGCCTGGGGGTGTGGACTACAGGACAAATGTAAAGACATTCACGGTGAGTGGTGGCTGCTGAGGACAGAGGCTAGGCGCCTATGCTCCGGGCCTCCAGTCTGCGTCGTCATGACCTGTCCTGTGCGCAGGTGGCGGGGGAAGTGCTGGAGGAGCTGTGTGGGCAGATGGGCATCACAGACACCCAGGAAGTGCAGGAATTTGCCCTCTTCCTCATCAAAGGCGAAGGTGAGCCCAGGGAAACGGGCAGACTTACGTGCCTGGGCCACTGACGACCCACAGGAACGGATTCCGCGCTGGGGACGTTTGTGGTCCATTCTGGCATGGGTCCCCTATGCAGGTGACCTAGTCCGACCACTGTCACCCCATGAGTACATCAACAGTGTGGTGACGGACAAGGACGCGAGCCTGCACAGCCGGCGGCTTGGCTGGGAGACCCCGTTGCACTTCGACCACCCCACCTACACTGAAACCCACTATGGCCAGGTCAGCCCCCTGCCCAGAAGCAGGGAGAGCTCCAGCTGGGCAACCCCTGGACCCCCTCTCCACAACGGTGCCCTCTGTGGTAGCCGGAAGGGATGGGGGCAAAAATAAGTCTGACTCTCTAAAAGTCACCAACTGTTGGGGAGGTTGTGATACGACTGCCCCCGCCGGCCCTCCTCAGGTGCTTCGGGACTACCTGCAAGGGAAGCTGATGATCAGTGCCCAGGCAGATGCCCAAGTGGCCCGGCTGGCTGCCCTGCAACACCTCAGGAAAGCCAGCAGAAGTCTCCCGTCAGAGTGCGTGAGCTCAGCCCAAGCCTCCCCAGCCCCTCCCCCAAACCTAAGGGCTGCGCCTGCTTTCCCGATCCCTGGCCCGACAGACTGGCCTCCATTAGTCATGTCGGTCTTCTCTGCTCTTCCCCAACCTGCTCCTGAGCTAGGCCCTGGGTCCTTACCCATAGTGGGTGCCAGCTCAGTTACATGGCACCACATGCACCAGGTGGTCCATGGCCACGGCCCCAATGACCCAGGCTGTCACCCTAGGCAAGAGCTGCTGGTGTACATCCCCAAGCCACTGCAACAGCATGTCAACATAGCCAGCATAAAGAGTTTGGTGGGCCAGGAGCTGAGGCAGATGCAAGGACATAGCGCACAGCAAGCACAGATTGATTTTATTGGTAGGTTTGTGTTTATGTCAAGGGACAGCTGGGTGTGACGGTCAAGGCCCCGGAGGGGGGAGGGGAGCAAACTGAGCAGGTCCCAGAGATCTGCAGCCAAGACTCTTGTCCTGTTGTACCCACAGAGAGCACAAGCCAGCTGCCCCTCTTTGGCTACACTGTGTACGTGGTGCTGAGAGCGAGTAAGCTGGTCCTTCCTGGACCTATCCTCCTGGGGCTCAACCGCCAGCATCTTGTCCTCATGGACTCCAGCTCTCAGGTGGGTAGGGAGCCCCTGTCCCTGTGCTGGTTCAGATGCCTGGGTCAGGCCTCAGGTCTGGTCCCCGAACCTGTGCCAACCCTGCTGTGCTGTTTCTGCTACCCCAGAGACTCTGTTGCTCCATCCCCCTAAGAGACCTGCAACGGCTGCACCTGCTCAGCCCGCTGGAGGATGGCGGGGCCCCCGGCCTGGAGCTCAATTACGGCTCTGCTGACAACCCCCAGACCATCTGGTTGGAGCTGCCACAGGTGAGTGGCCAAGGCTTCTGTAGTTCCTAGGAAGTGTTTCCCCAGTAACGGTGTATAGCTAGGCCCAGGCCACTGGTCTGTGTAGGGGCAGTGTGGGCAGAGGTGAATGGGGGCGGGCAGAGCTGTACTAAACCCTCTTTGCCTGGCAGGCCCAGGAGCTGAAGCACACCATTGTCTTCCTGCTGGAGGACAGCATGTCCTCTACTCAGTGGCCAGGCCTCTGCTGAGGAGACTGGAGATAAGGCATTGGCATCTCACTGGGCGGCCTGCCTTGGATGTCACGTGGTTTTTGCTTGTCTTTGCCGCCTGGCCCTGCTCTGAAACTTCCTGCAGCATAACCCCAGGTGGAGGCCATAGGGCAGGGGTTGCCACAGTGACCCATTCCCTTCGAGGTGCCCTGAACCCAGAGCTGGGGCTGTAGGGACTGAGCTTGTGCATCTCACGTCCTGCCTGGGAAAATCCCCACTCAGCTCTAGGGCTGGCACAGCACAGGGCCTGGATGAAGCAGCTTCTGCACAAATAAAACACCCAAGAAAAGGACTGTGTGAGCATGTGTCTCAAGCAGGACTTTATTCTTGCAAACTCTTCATTGGCTCGACCTTGCCGACCAGCAGAGGGTCAGGGCCTGGAGCTGTCATCTTGATTGAGGAGCAGGCAGGCAGGGTGGGAATGGCCGTACCATCTGCACCTTCTAATCTGGAAGCCTGGTCACGAAGGCCAGGAGCAGCAGGCCGAGAAAGGACCACGGGGGTTTTAAGCAGGAAGGTGGGCTGACCTCTGACCTGACCCTTGCACTTGGTTTGGGTGTCAACCTTCAGTGAGGTATGCTAGGGTGGGAGCTGGGTGTGGGGAGGACCCTGAGAAAGTTGGCTCCGCTGGCATGGGCCTGCCCATGACGGGGAGGGGTGCTGACCCTGTTCAGTCAGCAGCTGCAGGGTCATCGCTGTGGGCCACACAGGCCACGCCAGTCAGCTTCACTCTCACAGCGGTCACGGTCATGGAAAAACTGCTTGATGAGGCTCTGGGCCTCTTCCTTCACTGTAGATTGGGGAAGGGACACAGGACAAGGTAAGGACTCGTCTCCTCTGGGCAGCCATCCCCTCCCCCACCCCCACAGTGCCTCCTGGCCCTGGGCACTCACCACCCCTTCCAGGAGAGGTCTTCTGAGCCAGAAAATGTGAGAGGTGGCGGGCAAACCCTTTAAACAACTCCTAGGTGGCAAAGGAAGAGAAAGAAGCCCTGTAGCCACCACCAAGGGCAGACGCTGGGGCTGGCTTAAGGCTGGGCCTTCTCTGCCTTAGATATGAACCTGCCCTCCACCCCACACCCCTGCACTGGCCCCCGCATTCAAGTCACACTCACCTACCTTGGATATGAACCTGCCCTCCTTGTAGAAGGGGGTCAGGTACTTGACCACAACAGCAGCAGCCTCTTTCACGGAGATGCCAGGAGCTGAGAGCTGGCAGTGTCCTCCAACCATCTTATTCTCAGTGCTGTGCTCACTGGCCAAGGCACTGCCCTTGGCCTCAGCCAAGATGGAGGACTTGGCTGAGGGGCAAAGCCTCTTCTGAGTTCTCCTCTCTGAGCTCTCCTAGATGGGGTCATACAGCATGGACAGCTTACTTTGGGGTTCCCCTCTATGGGCGCTAGCCTCCCTTCTGGAAGGAAGCCTGCATGCATGCACTCAGCACCAGGAACCTTCCCTCACCCATCCCAGTTGCTTCCAGGGCATGAGAAGTGATGTTCCCTGACCTAACCCTTGACCCCAGGCAGCTCTCCGCCTCACCACGAACCTCCTCCAGTATCTGCTGCGATCTGGGCCGTTTGCCTGCCTGAGCTTCCTGTAGAGGGTTAGGCTGACCTTCAGGGCAGCTGTGGTCTCGCAGTGAGCAGGTGCTGGCCAGAGGGAAAACGGCATCAGAGGTCTGGGTCTGGCTGCTCTCTGGACCCAGCAGGGCCCACTGTGATGAGCTTTACACTTCAGAAGCCCAGGTAGTAAAGGGCTCGGATGCTGCCATGGAATGAGGGTTCCCTGACACCTGAACCCTTACCTTGGCTCCTCCTTGGGACACTCAGTCTGAACCAGAGTGTTCAAACGTCCCTGGGCTCCAACTTCTGCACAGCCCTCCGGCTCACCTCCACAGGAGGGGGTGGCGTCTCCTGACCTTGGGCCTGGAGCAGGTGAAGGTAGACTTTCTGTTCTGTGGCAGAGGAACCGAGTGATGCTCTGGGAGTCCTTGTGGGCTGCTGCAGCTAGGAGCTGCTGTTTCTTGCTGGCTCTAGCCCTGGCATTGCTCTGGGAAGAGCCCTTTGTCCTCTTCTCAGGCGAGAGCTCCCCACAACTGCCACCACTTCCAGGAGCCTTGCCCTGGTTCCCAGGGAGGGGCTTGTTCCTGTCGTCGTCTTTACTGTCACAGTGCCAGCCTGGGGGACACTGTTCACTTCCCAGCACATCCTCAGGGGCTGGCTTCCCCAACAGTTCTGTGGCTGTCTGGAATGGGCAGGCTCCTTTGGGGAAGCCAGCTCCTACTCTCTTGGGTTTGAGCTGTGAGGAAAAAGAGGAAGCCAAGGCTCAGGGCCCCAGACCTCAAGGGCAGCCGTGGCTATCTATGGTGAGGGGCTCTCAGGATTGTGGGAGGAGGGAGCTGGAGAAGAGGCCATGGCTGACAAATACAGGAGACAATAGGAGTGGTACCCGGATGGTGCCCGGATGCTGCTCACCGAGTAAACGTGTGAGGTTGGTGGGATGTCATAGTCATTGGGCTCTGAGGGCTCAACCCCAGCACTGCAACTCTTGGTGCCCCCTTCCATGTCATAGAGCTGACCATCCTTGGAGGCTTTGTGGATCTCAGCCACCTAGAGAGGGACAGGCAAGGAGGCCTGTGGCACCCACAAGCTACTGTGTAGCCCTAGCCCAGATCCCCCGATTCTGCTGTGCACCCAGTGGGGACATGCCGGCTCCCACTGGGATGGAAAAAACGCCCCCAGCTAGCCAAGAAGCTGCTATCAATGGCTCCGGGGCCAGCAGGCCGGCAAGTGGCCTCTGCATACAGACATGCTGCCCTGCCCTGTCCTGAGCCCATGAGCATGCTCTGCCCCATTGGCCCTAGACCTACCTTCTTTAGAACACTGGCCTTGTACAGGTTGACCATCTTGGCATTCCGGAATGCCCCATGCTCCAGCTCCACAGCCTTGGCCTGCAGGGCAGCTCTGTGGGAAGGGATGAGGAGGAGAGAACATGCAGGTCTCAATCCACCCACTGTGGTCCTCCTGGTTTCTCGTCAGGGACCACTGGCTAGCCTCAGGACCTGGTGAGGATGGGTACATGGGTGCTAGTCAAGATTCTCTAGGTACACTCCTGTCCTTCAGTAGCCTTTGGCAGTCTCTGGTGCACACCCGTAGGGCTGTAGGGACAGAGAGCCATGGGGCGGGATGGGTCACAACCTACAGAGCGGCATTCTCTGAAGGAATAACCTTTGGTCCCCACGCTGGAGATCTCAGGGCACTCACCCGTCAGCGGACCCTACAGCCTGGTGATTACTGCTCAGAGCCTCCTCCAGAAGCTGCAGGCAGTGCTCTCGGGCCTATGAGGAGAGAGAAGTCTTGGTCACCGGTCCTGGGGGGGGGGGGCTGAGGGGAAGTGAAGCCCTTCTCTTACCTTCACCGTGAGCTTAGGGATCTTCCTGCTTGAAGCCTCTCTCAGGGGACAGTCTTCATCTGAGAAAAGGGTAGAAAGGGCTTTCCACTTGACCTGCTCTTTGGGGTCCTCCATCCCTCACCGAGTCCTCCACTGTTCACACCCAAGCACAGCACCCAAGCCCCTGGGGGCCTTTCTGTACCAACCTGGGGGTGTGAATTCTTCGATCTTGGGCTCTTTGCCCTGGAAAACACAACATGGGGGACCATGAGACACCCTGTCCTGCAAGGCAGCTCCCACTGAGGGCTAGAGAAGGTGAGCAGGGGACCATCTAGGACCTTGCATGGTTCGCTGTGTGCTGGTTATTTTTGGGGGTGGGGGTGGAGGAGCTGCATGTGAGACAGGGCTTCACTATCATCCCTGGCCTTGTTCTCAGATCTGCCCGCCTCTGCCTCCCAAGTGCTAGGATTAAAGCCGTATGCTACCATGCCAGCTTAGGGTTTTGTTGTTGTTCACAGAAACCAGAGTCAGCTGGGAAGAGGGTACCTCAATTGAGGGGCGGATTGATGGGGAGCACCCAGGTTACTATGGGTTTTGCCATCCTGGGCAAGTGTCTGTCCTAGGACGTAAGAAGCTGAGCAAGTGTGGGGCGCTCCTCTTGGTCTCCGCCTCAGTTCTACCGGCAGGGACCTGACTGCCCCGATGCTGGACAGTGATGTGCAAGTGACATCCAAATAAACCCTGTGCTTCCCAACTTGCTTCTGGTCATACACCGTGTTTTGTCGCTGTATTAGAAACCAAACTAACAGAGCCACCGAGCCCCACCAAGGCCTCTGCCCCCTTTACCTTGCGCAGGCTCATCTGTTTCTGATAGAAAAGATTCCATTCCCGCTTGTGGGCCTCATCTCTGCCCTCATCACCGCTACCTCCAGAACCTTCATCATACCTAGAGGACAGGCTAGGCATGAGCAGCCAGGGTCGGGGTTCTGCTCTTCCCCACTCAGGCCACTTGATAGGACAGTGATGTTCCTGCACAACATCGAGGCCCAGGAAGGGTTGCATGGCACACTGCAGAAGGCTATCTTCGGCCTGGCTAGTACCAGCAGCTGCATTTCCCAGTCCCTCACCTGCTGAAGCCCCCATAGCCTCTGCGGCCTCCCTCATACAGCTCGGGATCGAAGCCGTTCCCCTGGAAGGGCCCGATGCAGGTCTTGTTCCAGCTACTGCTGTGCTCCAGAGCATCAAGCCTCTTCCTCACGGCCGCAGGGCTCTGGCAGTGGTCACAGCCCTTGGCGCAGGCGGGTGGTGCATCTCCAAAGTACTTAGCAATGGCAGCATGGCGGCACCTAGAGTAAGCAGGCAGTGAGCGGTGAATGGCATGGGGTGAGAGACTGAGGCAGGTCAGGGTGTGTCCACCCGGCCTCCACACACTGATTCACTGTCCAACACCACACACGATGTTTCACACCTTAAAACACCCCTTTTAGATTTATGTGCAGTGACCCCTAGTGCCAGAGGACGTCGGGAGAATGTCAGCTGGACCACTTAGAACTTGTTACTGATGGTTGTAAGCCACCATGGGGTTGTGAACCTGGGGTCCTTTGCAAATACGGTATATGCTCTGAACCATCTCTCCAATCCCTGTCCTGTACCCTTTTATTCACAGGGGCTTGTGAAGCATCATCTGGTGTTGCCCATTGCAGAGCTGGGGCCAATGAGATAGAGCATCCTTCCTGTAGTCATACACTGGGTGACGGAACCGGGATGAGACCCTCGTTCTGTTCTGTGAGCTCTAGGGTCCGTTCTTCCCTCCACCCACGGTTGTGGATCGCCCTGGAGAGGGGGCTCTGCCATCGAGGCTATGTGAGTGAGTAAAACACGGACTTGTAGTGAGATAGTCTTTCTGTGGCACTGACCACGCCCATTGGGGGGTGGAGCGATGGGCGGAAGGACAAGAACAGCTCGCAAAATTGTGTCTAACAGAGTTCTTAGTTTGAGTACTGCTCGGGGATCCCAGAGAGCAGCCAATTGTAACACAGCCCTAAAGTAGGGTCGGTCCACAAGCGAAGAGCGGCGGGAGGCAGCACAGGCAGCCACTGGGGGCGCTCTTGCAGCCTGCACGGCTAACCCTGAATTGCATATGACAACTGTTCCTCTGCTCAAGACTGTGGCCTGCACAGAGGGGGCCTGTCCTGTCTCTGAGCAGCTTTGGCATCTAGGCACTGTGGCCACATGGTTGCCAACACCCTGTCCCCCGGCTCTGACTCACTGGGGTTTTGTGCTCAGATTCAAAGGGTTCCATTGACTGCAGCACAGACCAGGTCAGTCTCACCCAGCCTGGTCTGCTGGGTGGTAAGACAGGCAACCATTAATGGGCCTGGCCACTGGACAACAGGGCCAGTGGTGTGGGGAGAGCTGAGCAGAATGAGACCCACAGTACCCTTTCTCTCAGGAGGGACACGAGGTCCCGCACTAAAACAAGCAGGCTACTTTAAAGATATTTAGGATCCTCAAATTTCCCACAAGATGGCTCTGGGTGCCCAGTGACGAGGAGTACCTCACCAGAGAGCACTTGTAAAGCTTCCTGACTTGCTTGGGTGGTCCTATAGCTCCCGTTTTTCTTCCTGGGAGAGGCCAGGGAGTGGCCCAAGAGACATGCTGGGGTGGTCAGGGACACAAGCCAAGGAGGCCATCCAGAGGGTGGTGGGGTGCTCAAGAGGGAGCCGCTCCACCCTCTTCCCCTGGCAACCTCAGACGGAGCCCCCTGGGGTTATTTCCACAGGGAACCACAGCTAACCACTTCTGTCATTAGCCCAGCCCTCAGCCTGCAGCCTGGCCCCTCAGCAGGAGGAGGAGTAAGTGAAGGAACTGCTTTGGGATCTGGAGTAGAGTGGACCTCCTAGACAGAATGCTCGGTATCGGAATGGAATCGGACAAGCTCAGGGGAGGACTCCCTCTTGGCTCCTCCTCACAATGGTAATTTGACACCTACATCTCCGGGGCAACCAACGACGACAAGAAGGCTGAGGCTGGACGGCAGCTGGCTGTCAGCAGCCAAGAGCTGGCTCTAGGCTGTGCCTGAGAGAGAATCCGCCTGCTGCAGGGCAGGGAAGCCACAGTCCCCGTGAAGAAGTCCAAGGCGGTGGCAAAGGGCCAAGGGGAAGCGCATGAAGGAAGGTTCTACACTGGGGTCCCCCTTCTGCCTTCCCCCACATCTGAGCTCCCAGGTAAGTGACACTGGCAGAGGTAGGGGGAAGGAAAGCCAGGGTCTCAGGTCTCATGAACTGAGAGGAATGTCTTGGGGTACACATTGGGCCACTCTCCTACGGGGAACTTAGTCACCTCCCGTGTACACCTGAAGGCTCCTCCCCTGGGACCCAGTACTGGAGAAGGGGGATGTACTGCCTGCCACTTGCTGCGTAGCAGAAGGGCTGGGGACCTGCTCTACACAGGCCTCCTTAAGCCTTTTCTTAGTGAGCTTAAAATAGGGCCCACATGCCTGCCGGGCCCCCATTTTCCCAAGGGTCAGGGCTGAGCCCTCCCTGTATCTCAAGAAGGCTCAGGACAAGGTATGCCCAGGCAGCTCCCTGGCCGCTGGTCCCCAGGGTCTAGCAGAACCTGAAGCAGGACCCTGCTTACTCGGGGGCTGGACAAAAGCAGCAGCCCTATGCCTTCTGGAGCTCTGACCTGCACATTGCTTCATGTTTCCAGCTCAGGATCAGCTCAGGGAGGAGTCTGCACCCACTTAGATTCCCGGGACCCCCTGGGTTGTCCTCTGGCTGTGATCTCTGCCTGATTCTAAACTCAGGGCTGGAGGGGAGATGGTGTCTCCATGGATGAGGCTGGGGAGTGACCCAGGGTCCTGCTCCATGCTACAACACTAACAGTGACCCTGAGACATTCTTTGGGAGCATAAGCAAACCTTCCTGGGCCGGGGCTCACAAGGGGAGGCTGCCCACCCCTCCTGCCTCCTGTCCTCACACCAGGGCTCAAGTACCCCCGAGATGTTCCTTCCAAAGCAAACAAGCTGTTATCCAGTAAGAAAGGAAAACATCATTCAGACTTGGAAACCAAGGAGAACGCCAAGTGTCCTTGGCTGAGCGGAGGGAGTGGGCTTTGGCCTTTTGGGGGCTGGGAAACCAACTCCTGCGGTAAGAGAGTTGCAGCACAGCCCTAACAGGACTGACACTGAGCCAGGGTGGGGACAGCAGATCAGGGCAGGTGAGGGAGGGGTGTGGCAGTCAGCCACGGGACCCCAGAGGCAGGAGGGTGCCCTGCACCCACCAAACAGTTCCTGCTTCATGGCTGCACAAGGAGCTCACTTAATTTCTACTGGGAACCAGAGCTTTGTCTGTTCTGGAAAGCTCGGGGGCCAGGGCAGCAGGACCAAACATCCATTTCTGATTTCACACTGGAGGCCCACAGAGACGGAGCCACTCAAGACAGTCAGAATGGCACATGGTGGGCATCTCCGCCCTGTCCGACAGGCACCCGGAACCCTCGGATCTCACATCTGCTGGTTGTACCGCACTCAAGACACTTCTCAAACAAGACAACACGCTGTGGGGTGACAGTGGCGGAGACCCGCCATGACAAAACAGGAAACAAGACGCCCTTTGGGGCCGCAAGCCATCAGCGACAAGGGACACTGCTTATCGGGCAATGACACATCGCCTGCCCTGTGCACACGTGGCAGCTGGAGTTGACTATCAGGCTCTCAGTGGGGAAGCAGAGCAGCTGTGGCACCAAGTTGCAGTAGTCTGGCCCACAGACAGCCAAGCCGCTTACTCTACGCCACCCGCCACACAAAGGAACACTAAGCTAAGCCGTCCCCCAGCGCAGCCAATTTCCTTCTCTGTTACGCTAGTACTGCCTCCCCGACTCAGCCAGGAGCATCCTCACAAGACTCCAAGTGCTGAGCAGGCGGTCTGGGAAACGGGTGGGCTCAGCAGCAGCCAGAACTGTTGTCCAGGGAAGCCACCACTTGCTCTACTGAACATGGCATGAAGAGACAATCCAGTTCCCCGGTTCTTGGGCATAAAGTATGGTCTAGAAAGAACTAGGTGAACCTGGAATAAAAGTCCAGGAAACAGAATTTCCAGTATCTGCTCAGTTTCCCCCAAGTGTGTGTGTGTGTGGGGGGGGTACCCAGTCAACAGGGGCCAGCCCCAGAGCTCCCACTGCCCCTGACCATAGCTGGGGACCAAGGTTACCTAATAACCACTGGTTATATTGGGCACCAGGCGTCTGTTGGCTCTGCTTTAAATAGCCCACTGGGAAGATAGATGCCTGGGAACCTGCTGGAATGTGCCTTTTTGGAGAACAAGACCCCATTTGCCCCCCCCACTCCTGTCCTGTGTTTGTTCTGTTTGTCAGAGCTTAAAATAACAAACTGTCAACTGCCAAGCAGAGAGGGTTCCTCTTTGGCCCTTTGAGGGCAGAGAGCATGCCCAGCAGCCCCGCTTCTGCTGGTAGGTAAAGCGGAAGGCCTGGGAGGCAGGTAGCCTGAGGCCACACCCTAAGGCTGGCACAGTGGCCACGTCCCACCTAGCCTCCAGCAGGCTGCCTATAGAAGCTGTAGGCACAGAGCGGTGAGGCTGTCCACACTCTTACAGAGGACAGCTCAGATGCACTGCACGTGACTCCACAAGCCAAGCAGAGGCGGGGAGGGTGGGAGAGGGCGACGGAGCAGCTGGGAGTACTCTGCCAGCTGCAGTGTCTTACCAACAAATTCTGACTTCCCTGCACAGCAGGTCTAGCCCGAGCCACTGGCTTCTGCCCTGCTCTGGAAATTGCCAACCCTGCCAAGCAGGTGCCTCCTTCCTCCCCTCCACTGTCCCTCTCGAGGTCTTTGGGTGTGGCACACAGAAAGTTTTCCTGACCACCAACCTCCTGCCCGCTTCTGCTTTTAAGGAGTGTCTCCATTGGGCTTGTGAAGCAGTGGGCATAGTGCCAGTCAGGCTGAGCGAGCCAGAGCAAACACAGAGGGAGAGAGAGGGTGAGAGGCAACAGCCCTGGTTCTGAACCACATGCGGCACCATTTACTTCTGTGAGGTGGATGGTGCTGAGGTCCCAGGGCAGGGGCGTGGATGCATCACTGTTTCAGGCAAATGGTTAGAGGCGGCTTCCCCTTTGGTCTGACCAGAAGGGATGTTCTTATGCTCACATCAGCAGGACACATACTCTACTCATGTAGTGACAGATAACACGCAGTTCTGAAAAGAGCCTGGTGTACCCCACTCTGGTAGTGGTGAACTCATACAACTGATGGCCAGTCCCACAAGAGGTGGTATTGAGCGTGCATAGCTCACGGGCTTCCAAAGAGCTATGGCTCGGTTCATATGGCCTGTGACTCGGGGACTCAGCTGTGCTGTCTTATTGCTGCTTAAAGCCAAACAGGCCTCCAAAGAGAGCGGCTGGGTAGGAGGGGGCAATGGCTGGCTCCATTCTTGGTTTTGCTGGCCCTATCAGTCCCTACACAGAGAAAGTTCCTGCAGCCAGACTCCTCCCTAAGGGTTCTCATCTCAACAACACAAAGAGCCTGTCCATGGCACAAGAGGGGGAGGGGTTGAGACAGGACGATCTCTGAGTTCAAGGCCAACCTGATCTACAGAGTAAGTTCCGGGACAGCCAGGGCTTCACAGAGAAATCTTGTCTCGAAAACCAACCAACCAACCAAAAAGACCCATTTCTATGATGGGCAGATGAAGGTACCACAGGGCTGGGGATATAGCTCTGCGGTACAGTACTTGCCTAGCATAAGAAAGGTCCTGGAGTCCATTCCCCAATAGCACAAAAAACGAAAACAAAACATGAACAAGGCAGTCGGCAGTGGCGCACGCCTTTAATCCCAGCACTCGGGAGGCAGAGGCAGGCGGGTCTCTGTGAGTTTGAGGCCAGCCTGGTTTACAAAGCTACACAGAGAAACCCTGTCTCCAAAAAAAAAAAAAAAAAAAAAAAAAAAAAGGCAAAGACTAAAAACACCGAAGGCACCATGCACTTTATGGAAAGGAAATCCAATCGGTTAGGTTAGCTAGCCGCTGTGACCCAGCTCCTGAGAACTGTTAGGGGAAGACGGACCTAAGTGACCAAGCAGGATCTGGTGGCGGCAGGCAGGGCCTCTCATTCTCAGAGACTCTGGCAAAGGCTGCACAACACAGAGCCCACATGTAGGATGGCCCTCTCCAGACCTTCAAGGTAGTTTTCGGCCTGCCATGTGCCAGGCCGGAGTGCTGGGAGTAACCAGTCTCACAGGTCACGCAGAGGGGACGACCTGCCCAGTGACATCAGGGCCATGGTGTGGACCATCAAGGACAAAAGTCTCCCTGCTCCCATCCCTCAGGAGGAAACAGTTTGGATGCACTGGTACAAGGCTTTCCCTGTCCCTTCTCACTCACAGGAGAGATGTCAGGGCAGGGAGGTGCTAACACTCAAAAGCTCCAACACACTCAGCTGGGAGCCGTGTCCAGGCCTTCTCTGGTTAGAACAGAGCATGTCCAAACCAGGAGGGGGAGTGGGCTGAGTCAGTCCTAAAACCCCTGCTCCCACGGGGGTCAATGAGGCCCCTGGGAATAGTCGGGGGGGGGGGTCTTCTCTCCATACATGACAGCCAATGAAGAGACTGACATGGTAGGAGAGGAGGGCTCTTGGAGACTCAGCTTCATGGCCTTCAAGCCACACCCCCTCCTTCTTCAGTTTCTGCCTACAGTTGATGGGAACTCCAGTTCCCATAAACCTGTTCCTGGAGTCTGATTTTTCACCCACACAGAATCCTGAGGCCTGTCTTGTCACCCTGAGGGCATCTAGGGGAAGCACCAAAATCCCGAATGGCCCAGAGGCTGGCTGGGGAGCTGTGTCAGCTGAGGCACCCCGGCCAGACCTGATATTTGTGTCTCAAGACAAAGGAATGCAACAGCAAGGTGACACCTGATGGGCAGAGCCTTCACTAGCTGCGGCCGCGTCTGGTGGCCCCTGGAAGGTTCTCCAGGTCACACTGGTCTCAAGCTTCCCTTGCCCTGGGCAGCTCCAGCCAAGTGTGGGCTGAGGGGGACCCTCCCTTGGAGCAGCCGTCTGGACTCCCTGGCTCCCTCTGCCTGGGATCCAGCAGTGGTACAGGGTGAGATTGGCAAACCTGTTCTGCAGGCTCCGGTGGGAGAGGCTGGCTCACTGGAGCTGCCTCCCAGCTGTGAGCTGCCAGGCAGGGACTCTGAGGTGCTGTCGTCTCTGTTGTTACAGCACACAGGAGGCCTGGCATCATGGCAGCCACAGGCTTTGTGGAGGAAATCCACTCAGTGGGTGAGAGGCTGCTGTTGAAGCTGCAAGGACTGCCCCAGGCTGAGCCCGTGGAGCTGGTGACCTTCTCTATCATCGTCCTTTTCACAGGCAAGTGGGACACCTGTCCTCTGGCCCTTCAGCCCTGTCTCCTCAGTGTCCAGGGGGCTCTTCCTGATATGGGGGAGAGCAAGCCATGGCGCTGGCTGGGAGGTAGGGAAGTCAGTGTCCCAGGGGAAGCTAAGGGAGTTGCCACACTCTCTGGCATCACCGGAGTTGCTAGGCAGAGCTGGGACTGGACACCAGGCGTCAACCCTGAACTGAAAGGAGTCAGGCTTGGGCAGTGGAGCGAGAGACAGACAGGACCTGTCAGCCTCTCGGGTCTTTTGGACCACTGCTCCAGACCCAGGGGAGGTCTTTTGGAAGGAGGTGGGCAGCCCTTCTCCCCACTGGCTGTTCAGCTCTGGGCCACCCTCTCCCTTCAGCTACAGTCCTGCTACTGATGCTCATAGCCTGCGGTTGCTGCTGTGTGCACCCCTGCTGCCCCGAGAGGAGAAGTAGGAAGATCACCGTGCAGCCCATAAAACCCAGATGAGACACTACTCTGAGATGCCCAAGAGAGGAACTGGACAGGAGCCTTCCAGAACTGTGACACGGGCTATCATCCTGGCCATTCACTCCTCCGGACAGATCGCTTGGCCTCAGTTCCGCCACTGTCCAGGTGGCGGGACAGGCACCTGGAACCTTACCAATGAAAAGTGCTGCTCAATCTGCCGGGGGACACTGCCCACGAAGAGCTGCCTGTTTCAAAGACTCAGGAAACCGCCGGGGTCTGCGGCTAAGCTGTACCTTTCAGGGGCCCCTGCTTTAGTTGTGGGGAGCTGGCCCTTGGGGCTCTGCTGATTTATGCCAAAGAGAAGGAAGCTAATCAGGGACTTTGTGCAATGTACTACAATCCAAGCCTCCTGCCGAGGGGGAGGGGGACAGGTCAGTATTCTAGCTGAAATGTGCTAACTTCCAAGTAAAGCCCTTTTGGTTATGTGTTTATGAGGTATTTGGATATGTGCTTATGCACAGGCTGTACTCTGTGCATCAGGAGGGCAGTGACAGAATTCTAGGGGCATGGCCAATGACTGTTCTTTCCAGGCGACTGCTCCCCATGTGCCCATGAGAGTTGGAAAGTCACACGGGAGGAACGCCACACAGACGTCAACGCCTGGAACGGTGGAGGGGCAATGGAGGCTGTGCCTCGTCTACTAAGGGCTGCTTTCAGGGTCCCACTCTTGAGTGATGGAGGTCATTGCCCCAGGACAGGTGCTGAGCCCAGGAATGCTCTCTTGCTGTCCTAACTTTCAGTCTCAGGTCACTGGAGCCTCCCAAATTTCTGCAGCCTATCATCCTTGTACCCTGACCCTTTGGTCCTGTTCCTGTTTGTGTGCTCACACCCTTGGCTGACAACCGCCAGCTTTGGAACCCAATTCTCTTAAGCTAGGCTTCCTTCTCATGAGATGGATTAACGTTCGGTCTCAGTGACACTAGATAATTTTTCCAAGTGCAGCCAGCTAAAAAGTGGCAAAGCCTGCTCTGGGTCCAGCCTGTCTGCCTCCAGAGCTCCTGCTCACCACACCTAGGGCTTGAGGCCTCTGGGACACAAGGCAGAAGGTGTTGACTCCATTATCTCCATTAACCAACCCTACATCCAAGCACCCACACCCATCCTGTCCCAAGACTGCGTCTGTGTGAGTGCGTGCGTGTGTGGGAATCTAATCGCACACCCCACCTGTCCCAAGACTGCTTCTGTGTGTGTGCGTGCGTGCGTGCGTGCGTGGGAATCTCATCCCCAGCTATCAGAGGACGACCCCAGGGACAGTGGAAGCACTAGCAAGCCTGCATTCTTCATTCAGCACTGTTGCTTGGAGGGCCCTGGAGCCCTCAGTTTGGGAACAGCAGCCCAGTTCCTCCCAGACCCCTCTTTAAGCAGGGGTTCTCTAGCATCGGAATAGCCTTCCTGTAGGGGGGCTAAGACAGACCCCTTCCTCATTAGGAAAGATCATGTTCCTAGTCCAGCTTCAGAGCAGGGGGAACCATGGACAACCCTGACACCGCCTGAGTAGCCAGCACAGTGACCACCACAGCCTCCTCATGGCCGTCCCTCTCACACGGACTCTGTTCTAACCCTGTCCTCAGTCCCTCAGGATGACGAGGAGCCCAGCTCACTGCCTGCATTTTATGCCTCATTACAGACTACAAAACCAAAGCTAGGATCATGGCAGCATCTCTTGGCAGAGCACAGACACGTTTTGTGAAATGGTAATATTTTCAAAATGATTTATAACAAAAATAATCATGACACAAAAGTGAGTACTACAAATTTCATATCAGAGAATTATGTGCACAATGCTGGGCGGAGGTGGCGCACACCTTTAAGCCCAGCGCTTGGGAGGCAGACAGGCGGATCTCTGAGTTTGAGGTCAGCCTGATCTACAAAGCTACACAGAGAAACTCTGTCTCAAAATCCAAAAGAAAAAAAAGAAGTTTTCCTCCTCTTTGCACCCTGTTCCATGCCATGTAATATGGTCCCGAAAAAGGATTTGTTTATATGTATGAGTGTTTGCCTACATACATGTTAGTGCACCATATGCATGCTTCTTATCTGAGGAGCCCAGAGGAGGGTGTCAGAGCCTCTGGAACTGGGGTGACAGATGGTTTTGACCCACCACAGGGGGTTGAGAATCGAACCTGGGTCCTCTGGAAAAGCAGGCAGCACTCAAGTCTTCACTTGTCACACTATTTCCTCAGAGGAGCCCTCAGCACAGACCTCTGTGCCTGCCCCCTCCTGCTATCACCTGCCCCCCTCAGTGACCGAGACAACAGACAATCAAAACTAGACAAAGCAGCCTTCCGATGATTGACATCTTCTCTCTACATATTTGACCCCTTGTTTTGAGAGATTTCTGGCTGTCCTGGCATTCACCATGTAGGTCAGGCTGGCCTTAAACTCAGAGACCCACCTGCCTCTACAATTAAAGGTATGTGCCACCATGCCTAGCAGAGCTGTATTTTTTGTTTTAGTATTTTGAGAGAGGGTGTCCCTGTGTGGCCCTGGTTGTCCTGGAATTCACTTTGGACACCAGGCTGACCTCAAACTCAAGCATTACTCCTCCTCCTGAGTGCTGGGATTAAAGGTGTATGCCACCATAGTCTGGCTTCCTTCTTATTTAAGATTTATTTATTATGTGTATGTGTGAGTTGTCTGATCCCTTCAGTGGCCAGAAAAGGGAGTTGGATGGCCTGGACCTGGAATTATAGGCAGTTGGGGCCACCTTATGTGAGAGCTGGGCACTGCACCTAGGTCTTCGGAAAGAGTAGCGAGTGCTCCCAGCATCTGAACCGCCGGCCCTCGCTCGGGCCTACATGACTTGAGGTGGGAACAGACAGGCACACCTCTCACGTCAGGCGGGCTTGCTCTCTGAAGGTGGGCTGTGGACTAGTTGGACTCCAGCCTTACTTTGTAGTTTTGGTTTCATTAGAGTAAGTGTGTGAGCACACCTGAAGAACCGGAGTGTAAAACGTCACCACAGAGGAGTAGGTAAAGGCACTTGCCACCAAACCTGAGGACCTGAATTCAGTCCCCTGGGACCCACAAGTTAGAGAGCCTATTTCCACAGTGGTCCACTAACCCCACCCACAGGCCATGGTACAGAGCCTGAAACTCTAGGCTGTACAGCTGGCTGCAAACTCCAGCTGCACTGCCTCACTGAGTCTACTGTCTATCTGTAAAGCTGCAGTGGTGGCTATCATCACTGATGTGTTTATACGATGTCACATTCAACTTTGTAACCCTAGAAACAAGCACACAACCATCACGCCAGCAAGAGAGCCTTTCCTGGCTCACCTCCGACCTCCTTCCACAGGTCACTCCGCCCATGGCTCCACCCCCCAATGGGCGTGGTCAGTGCCACAGACGACTATCTCACTACAATAAACCGGTTTGGGAACAAACATGTCACTCCTGATAAGAACCTGATTCTGCTGATAGGCACAAAAGCACGAGGGTATGCCAGAGACCAGCCCACTGGCCATGTGCATTTGGCAAGCCAGGAAGTCAGCAAGCTTTCCACAAGGGCACGGAAAGCAAGAGGTGAACCATGGGTCAGGTCAGTTCAGCTCCCTGAACTTGCTAGTCACCTGTCAACCACTCCTGACGAGCCTTCCTGGGAGGGTCAGAACAACAGATAGCCCAGAATTCCACAAGCTGACGTCAATAGGTGTTTCCCAAAACCCTAACAGCAGGAGTGATGACAGTGGACTAGAACATGAGCCTCGCTGGAAGAAAGGCCTGTGTCTCTTATCTTAGGACGGCATGCAAAGCCTGGCAGTGCCAGGCCCACAGTCTACGTGTTAAAAGGAATCAGCAGTGGCCATCAAGTGCCAAGCAAGGCCTGACTGATTAATGCCCTCCTCTCTTCTCATTAACCAAGGGGTGGGGACCAGCCACACTGAACAGCAGAGGCCGTGCCTGAGGCAGGCAGGCAGGAAAGGCTCCAACCATGATAAGCACTCCCACCCAGAAACCTGTCCTGGGAGGCTCCGGCCAAAATTGCAGTTAATCATTCACCCAAAACACAAAAAGGGATAACTTCCCACATAAGCTGCAGGAGGTCATCTGGAGGAGAACTAAGACCCAGCTGCACATAGGTAAGGTGGACAGGTAGCCTGGGGCACGGGACAGTCTCTTCTCTGGGCTAACGGAGCCTGGCTTCTCTCAAGGACAATTTATAATGTGTCTTGAGCATCTCCACAATGTCATCACAAAAGGGCAGAATCCTGATGAAGGGAAGGAGGGAGTGGCAGTCCGTTGCTAGGCAACCAGTCTAGCCCACCTTTGTTTGCTCTGGTGGCAGCAGCAAAGGTGTGGTCCGAGCTATTTGGCAATGCTCTGGGCTGCCAACAGTCATTTCTTTGAGTTGCTGAACAGCTGTGGTCACCTGGCAGCCTCTTCAACCCAGGAACCCCAGAGTGGGAGGCCTGAGGGACAATCCTGATTTGCCTTTGCCCTCTTAAGACACAAACTATTAGTAGAAGAACCAGGTAATGACGTCTTTCTTTTTTCCCTATACTTTCAACTCCCTGCAGTCTACTGACACCACTATGGTTAGGTTTCCTGCTTCCAGCTGTCTCCAAAGACAATGCCTCAACCATACTCTGTTCCCATCCACCACCACCTTTTTTTAAAGTTGTGTGTGTGTGTGTGTGTGTGTGTGTGTGTGTGTGTGTGTTTGTGTTCTTCCTATGTATGTATGTCCAGACATGCATTCCTGGTACCCTCAGAAGCTAAAAACGGTATCGGGTACCCTGGAACTGGCATTATGGATTGCTGTGGCTGTCACATGGGTGCTGGGAACTGAACTTGGGTCCTCCGAAGGAGGAGTGCTTTTACTGCTGAGCAGACACCTCTCCAGCTCCACCTATCTCTTTCTCAGACCGGATGGCTGCTCCCTACTGGCCTGGAATCCCTGGGCTCAAGCATGAAGTCAGCCCTCTGAGAAGCTGAGACTTAAGTGCATCCTCATCTCCAGCTGGGCTGCTACACCAGCCTTTCAAACACCTGGCAACTGGGACAATAAAAAATAGGAGGACAGGTGCAGGGTACATTTGAGGCTCTAGCTAGGAAGGTGTTTGTGGGCACCCCTGGCTTACAGAAGGACTGTTCAGGATATGCCAGAAACACCCACCTGCTGCAACCCGGCAGCTTCCAAGCAGGAAAGCCCTCAGTGTTGGCTAGCCAGATGTATCCAGCTGTTCAGAAGTCCAGGGAGGTGGCATGGAGAGCAAGGACAGGGAAAGGCCTTCAGCACTCTGCACTCAGGGCCGCCGTCTCCTCTCTTCCAGATTTACATGGGCCAAATGGTAACCTCGGAGACCATCCAGAATGGAGACTTCTGGGATAACCCCTGGGATGTGGGGGGCCTGATAGTGATTGGCTTATTCATCTCCACATTCCTGTTCTTCATCATATTTGCCATTGTGTTTGGCTATGTGGAAAAGACTGTGTGTGAAGAGAAGTGAGTGATCCCCTGCAGCAGAGCCTGTTCACCAGCTCTCCAGGCCCTCAGGCTCAAGAAGGCATCTATGTGAACCGCTGGATCGGGCTCAGGGATCAGTCCAAGAGCAAGACGGGAAGGCTGGCCTGACACCGCTTCTGGCTCTCCCACTGACTACAGCTAACACTCTAAGCACAGGGACAGGGACTCTGTTCCACCTCAAGTGAGAGCAGCAACTGCTAACAAGGTCTTCTGAAAAGCAACCCCGCCCAGGCAGCAATTCTGCAAGTCCCTTATGAGGAAGGACACAAAATGTCAGATAAAGTAAAAATCCCTTTCAAATCCACTAACGTGAGCTTATTTTCTATGCAGACATGGCTCTCAGGACCGCCTCTAGCAAACCTCAGGAAGGCCTGCAAGTCCTCGGGGGTGGCGACTGCGTATCCTCCCCAGGCTGGGATACTTTCTTCCCTACCACACTACACCCATGGCCTCCCTGCCCTGCAGGTCTGAGCCTAACCCTGTCATTCTCAAATTTCCTGACTCTGACCCCAAAGACCGGGATGGGGAACCCTGTTACTCTCAGGACAACACTGTACAGGGCTAGGGAGACAGTACAGCAGTTAAGAGCACCAGCAGCCCTTGCAGAGCACACAGGTTCGGTCCCCAGCACCCATGTGAGGCTCACAACTATCTGTAGCTCCAGTTCCAGGGACACCAGTGTCCTCCTCTGGCCTCTGTGGGCACCAGGCACATATGGTTCACAGATTTTATATATATGCAGGTAAAACACTCGTACACAAAATTTTAGAAAAACAAAAGCCACCATGTACTTTTCCTTCAGAGCCCGTTCATCAGCAATTCCATATGTAATCGGCAGAATGAAAGGGCAAATGAGCTCACAGACGGACACACCAAGCAGCTGAGCTCCTTACTCCAAAGACACCACAAGACAATCCCACCCAGACCAAAGGCAAAGCCCTCTCCATCCCAGACGCCCAGACTGCTATTCCAAGCCGAGTGACTACAAGGGTTAAGTCCTGCTTCTTCGTGGCTGCAGCTCTGAGAAGACGGCTACATGGCGGAGCCAAGATAAAAACCACTGGCGGCCCCATCCTGGCCACATTTGGAAGGGACCTGACTACCTTTCCTGGTGTCCTAGGCCACTGACCATATCCCACCCGACACACCCCAACCCTACATGAGCTTCCTTCAGAAAGGGGCCCCCGCAGCTGAGCCCACCCCACTGGCCTTCCTGCCAGGTGCCTGCTTCATAAGGGAGGCTGGTGGGAGCCGTCACCCTAACTTCAGCCTCAAACCGGCACTATTCTTAGAAAAGTAACAACCATCTGTTGAAAGGGGCTTTTGTCCGTCGAACCAGACACTGTGCCCACAATAAACGTTCACTCTCCTAGAGACGAACCCACCTGTAGCCAGCAAAACAGGAGGTGTGAGGCTGAGCACGGGTGGGGTGGGGGGCATGCATCACCCCATGGTCCCACAGATGTGCGCTCTCAACTGGCCTATCAAGGCTCCATGTAGACCTGCTCGGCTGTGGTCTCAGCTGAGAAGCAGAAGACACTGACAGCCAGCACAGACACCTGGTCCTTTCAGGCATCCCATGAAGGGCTCAGCTCCCAGAGCCAAGGAGGCTGATTCGTGTCAGGGCAGGGGAGGGCATGGCGGTATGGCCTTAGCCAAGGGTGGGCCTGGCACAGCAACCCACCACTTTCTCGAGTGTGATCCTGCCGCAGAGGCCAAATTAAGAGATGCCATTGATGACTTGGTTATCAAATCAAGGAGCTCAAGTTTAGTAGCTTCTATTGTCCGGGGTTTGGCTCACTTGTCTCTAAATCTGAGGCAATCACTAGGGTTCGTCAGCTCTCAGTTTCCCACATGAATGAATGAATGAATGAATGAATGAATGTGTTCTTCCACACAGTCTGACTTCTTTTGGGCATCCTTCACATAGGATTCTACTGACTACATGCCCAGCCACAACTTGTCATGAAGCAGCTGAGTCTCTTTCTATGGCTGGCCCATAGCTTCTGTCTCATTGCCCCAGACCAGGACAAAATAAGTAAGTAGGCTCCACATAAGCAAGTCGGTGTTCTGTCAGAAGAGCTGATTTACCCAAAGCATGTGACACCCCCCCCCCCACACACACACCAGATATGAGTAGGCCTGAAGCTTCTGTCGGGGCTCTGTAAGAATAAGCACAGCTCATCAAGTGTGGGGACACACGCCTATAATCTGGACATGTGGGAGGTAGAGTTGTCAGGGTAACCAGGAGTCAAAGGTCAGCCTAGGTTACATGAGACCCCATCTCAAAAGCAAACAAATCAGCATGAGTGACTCACAGAAGAGCCAGCTCAGTGACAAGAGCTGGCCACATCACTCTGCAGGGAATTGCTCAGAGCAGCCAGCCAGCCATGAAGTAGGGGGAGACGTGGATGACCATCCCAATGTGGGACAGCTCTTCACACAAGAGTTTGAGATTCAGCGGCACCCACAAGTAAAAAGGAAGGGTCCTGACTTCCACATGGTTGAAATAACAGCTTTGCAAGCAGGGGACCCTCGGAGGCCCAAGGGCTAGCTTGTATTAGCTGGTGAAGTAATGGTTGGTGGGACAGTAAATGACCTTCCCTTGGAGGAGAGGCGGGCGATGCAGAGATTAACCATAGGGTCCTGCACCGCTACACAAATGCTCTATATACCACCGAGCCGCAGTGCGTCCCCTACACAAATGCTCTATATACCACTGAGCCGCAGTGCGTCCCCTACACAAATGCTCTATATACCACTGAGCCGCAGTGCGTCCCCTACACAAATGCTCTATATACCACTGAGCCGCAGTGCGTCCCCTACACAAATGCTCTATATACCACTGAGCCGCAGTGCGTCCCCTACACAAATGCTCTATATACCACTGAGCCGCAGTGCGTCCCCTACACAAATGCTCTATATACCACTGAGCCGCAGTGCGTCCCCTACACAAATGCTCTATATACCACTGAGCCGCAGTGCGTCCCCTACACAAATGCTCTATATACCACTGAGCCGCAGTGCGTCCCCTACACAAATGCTCTATGCGCCACCGAGCCGCAGTGCATCCCCTACACAAATGCTCTATATACCACTGAGCCGCAGTGCGTCCCCTACACAAATGCTCTATATACCACTGAGCCGCAGTGCGTCCCCTACACAAATGCTCTATGCGCCACCGAGCCGCAGTGCATCCCCAGCCCCACTCACCCCAGCTCTTCACAGAAGGTCACCAGGGCGTCAAAGGCCAGCAGGGTGGCTTTATCAGATGCTTTGCTCCCTCTCTTTTCCTGCAGAGAGAAATGACCACTTAGTCCCCCAGAGTCACAGCATGTGCCATCACAGTAAGTATGGAAGGAGAAAACAGTGCCCCTAGGCCGCTACGTCGGCATCTCCATTTTTGGGAACTGATTCTACCCAGTTCTAAACAGAGAACACAGGGTAGAGTCCTCACACATATATGAACATATATGCTAATGTACATACCAGAGAATACAACCTAAACTGCTAGTGCTGGACAGACAAGATTGTGCTTTGTTGGTATCTATTGCCAAAAATTCCTTAAAAAAAAAATCAACTGAGGGTCAGTGAGATGGCTCCCTGGGTGGGCACCCGCTGCTGAGCCTGAGATGGCTCCCTGGGTGGGCACCCGCTGCTGAGCCTGAGATGGCTCCCTGGGTGGGCACCCGCTGCTGAGCCTGATGCTCTGAACTCAGTACCCACAGTGCAAAGACAGAACTGACTCCTACAAGTTCTTCCCTGACCCCCACGTGTACTCAAACCCAATAAATAAACGTAAGACAAAATTCCCGCCTTAGAGGGGCTGGAGAGATGGTTCAGTGGTCAAGAGCACTGGCTACTCTTGCAAGAGGACCTGGATTCAATCCCCAGCACCCACGTGGTGGCTCACAACCATCTGTAACCCCAGTTCTAGGGGACCCACCCATCTTCTGGCCTCCATGGGAACCAGGTACACATGTGGCACATGTACATGTACACACATGCAAGTAAACACTTATGAACTTCAAATAAAGTGTAAAATTTAAATAAAAATACAGAAAACAGATCTCTGAAGCAATACGCACCCCCCACATACCCACAAAAACGACACTTCGTGGGGGGCAGCAACAGCAAAGGGCAGAGAATAGAAAGCAGCCTGTGCCTGCATGTGTGAAGACGCGACAATGAGACCCGTCACTTTGTATGCCAGTCTAAAAACGGTGCTAGGGAGTCAGGGAGACAGCTCAGCAGTTACGAGCACTCGCTGCTCTCGGAGAGCAGAGTCCCGTTCCAGCACCAAATGCTATCACAGCCATCTGTGACTCTACTTCCAGGGCATCGATGCCCTCTCCTGGCCTACTGTACCACCACTCACTCATGTAAATAAAAACAGTAAAACAGTAAGCATTTATGTATTTAATTATTTTGGTTTCTCCAGACAGGGTTTCTCTGTGTAGCTTTGGAGCCTGTCCTGGAACTAGCTCTGTAGACCAGGCTGGCCTTGAACTCACAGAGATCCATCTGTCCCTGCCTCCCAAGTGCTAGGATTAAAGGTGTGAGCTACCAATGCCCGGCTATAGATTGATTGATTGATTGATTGATTTCTTGAGACAGGGATTCTCTGTATTGCTTGGAGCCTGTCCTGGAACTGGCTCTGTAGACCAGGCTGGCCTCGAACTCACAAAGATCCGCCAGTCCCTGCCTCTGGAGTGCTGGGATTAAAGGTGTGCGCCACCAACGCCAGGCTTAAAGTTTTATTTTTAACTAATATGCATGAGTGTTTTGCCTGTGTGTATGGTGGTGCGCCACTTGTGTGCCTGGTGCCCAGAGGCCACAAGAGCATCATTTCCCCTGCAAGTGGAATTACAAGTAGTTGTGAGCTGCCCTGTGCATGCTGGGAACAGAACCAGGGTCTCTGCAAGGGCAGCCAGGACTCCTAACTACTGAGCCATCTCTCCAGCCCCATGTTTGTTGATGATGTTGTGTTTTGTTTATTTGGGTTTTGCAAGACAGGGTTTCTCTGTGTAATAGTCCTGGCTGTTCTGGAACTCTCACTGTAGACAAGGCTGGCCTTGAACTCACAGAGATCTGCCTGCCTGTGTCTCTTGAGTGCTGGGATTAAAGGTGTGCCCCACCATCCCCTGCTTGTTGACATTTTTAAAAGAATGTTAGCTAGGAACCTAGCACAGTGACATACTTGCCTAGCTCGTAAGAGAACCTGGGTTCAAATCCCAGCAATATTGATTATTTATGTGCAGTGCTAGGTATTAAACTTGGGCTTCATCCATGCACGTTAGGCAAGAGTTCAACCACAAAGCTGTACCTCTAGCTGCAACTTTCTTGTGACAGTAGTCTTTTCCTCATTATGGCTGTGTCAACACAGTTCCAAGCTGAACCACAGGATTACAATGGTACACTTGCTGTGATCACATCTCCTTTCTGTACAGCACTGTTTCCGCTGGAAAACAGTTGCTTCTCCATACCGACTTCTTTAGACTTCAGTCTGTCACTAGCTTCACCCCTGAATGCTCTCACATAACAAATAACTCATTTCCACAGGAGCCCAAGACTGTCAGTCATTTTGGCTTTGGAAAACCTTCTTGGACCTTCCACCCACAGCAGCGTCTGTGACTTTGCTCCAGGCCAGTACCCATCCAGTTTCTGGCTTTTTTCACACTGGCATGGCAAGCACCTTGCACTGAGAGCATCTCCCCAGCAGATGGCTGTTTTCCTGTTTTAACTTTGCTTATGGATGAGTGTTTTGCCTGTGTGTATATCTGTGCAATACATGTACTCTGGTGCCCTTGGAGGCCAGAAATGGGCATCAGAACCCCTGAAGATGAGATTAGAGAGGGTTGTGAGTGCCATATTGGTGCTGGACACTGGACCTGGGTCTCTGCAAGAGCAGCAAGTGCCCTCAACTACTGAGCCATCTCTCCAGCCCCAGGTTTTTGTATGTATTTTTTGCATATGTGATTAAAGATTTATTTGTAAGCCAGTCAGTGGTGGCGCACGCCTTTAATCCCAGCACTCAGGAGGCAGAGGCAGGCTGATTTCTGTGAGTTCAAGGCCAGCCTGGTCTACAAGGCTACACAGAGAAACCCTGTCTCGAAAAACAAAAACCAAACAAAGATTTATTTGTTTATATGTATGAGTGCTATTTGTCATGTCTTTGTGTATGGATGCTTTACCTTCATTTATTTGTGTGTACCATGTGCATGCAATGCCCAAGGAGACCAGAAGAGGGCACTGAAGTCCTAGCGCTATCTCTGACCGCAGGATTTCTTTTTTAATAAAGTCTTATAGATTAGGGTTTTCTAGGCAGACATTTGCCTTTTCTGTTTTTGTTTTGCGTTTTGAGATACAGTTTCATTTTTTCTTCTAGGCTGGCCTTGAACTCACTATGTACCATAAGCCGTCCTCTCCTCTCAGCATCCTGAGAGCTGAGTTACAACTGCACTGTTGGTTGACATTTTTTCCCTCTCCTGTTCTCCTTACCCTTGTGAGTTTATTCTTTTTGTTCTTTTACTATCACTTGGGTGGATATCAGAAATATTTGTATCTAATTTGTAACATTAACGTGTGTGTGGTGTGTGGTGTGTACAGGTGTGTGTGTGTACAGGTGTTATGTGTGCGTGTGCACAGGTGTGCGTGTGCACAGGTGTGCGTGTGCACAGGTGTGCGTGTGCACAGGTGTGCGTGTGCACAGGTGTGCGTGTGCACAGGTGTGCGTGTGCACAGGTGTGCGTGTGCACAGGTGTGCGTGTGCACAGGTGTGCGTGTGTGTGTACAGGTGTGTGTGTGTACAGGTGTGCGTGTGCACCGGTGTGTGTGTGTGTGTGTGTACAGGTGTTTGTGTGTGTGGTGTGTGTGTGTACAGGTGTGTGTGTACAGGTGTGCATGTGCACAGGTGTGTATGTACAGGTGTGTGTGTGTACAGGTGTGTGTGTACAGGTGTATGTGTGTGTGCACAGGTGTGCGTGTGCACAGGTGTGCGTGTGCACAGGTGTGCGTGTGCACAGGTGTGTGTGTGTACAGGAGTGTGTGCACAGGTGTGTGTGTGTACAGGTGTTATGTGTGTGTGTACAGGTGTGTGTGTATACAGGTGTGTGTGGGTGTACAGGTGTGCGTGTGCAGCGGTGTGTGTGTGTGTGTACAGGTGTTTGTGTGTGTGGTGTGTGTGTGTACAGGTGTTTGTGTGTGTGGTGTGTGTGTGTACAGGTGTGTGTGTGCACAGGTGTGCGTGTGCACAGGTGTGCGTGTGCAAGGTGTGTGTGCACAGGTGTGTGTGCACAGGTGTGTGTGTGCACAGGTGCCTATGGGGGCCAGAAGAGGCTGATCCTCTGGAGTTGAAGTTACATGTGGCTGTGAGCCGCCTGACATGGGATAAGAACTCAGGTCCTCTGCAAGAGCACCAAGGGCTCCTTACCTCCGAGCTAACTCTCCAGCCCCTTTTTCTTTTCTTTTTAATTACCACATATTCGTTAGAAAAAAACGACAAGTTTGTGACACTTTCGTACACGTGCAGCCTGTACTGTGCTCATGCTCATAATCAAGTAGAGTGTGGCAGAGGTCAATGTTGGATACCCTCCTCTAGCACCCTTGACATCGGCCAGACTGGCCAGGGGCCCCGGGCCCACTGAGCACACGTCCTGCCGTGTATAAACATTATCTTATTACCAACTTACTTCTCCTCTAAGCTGCTGTAGTGTGAGTACACAACAAAATCGGGGTTGGTTTCTGGTTTTTGTTTTTATCTGCTTGTTTACTGTGGTGCTGGGAACTGAACCTGGCCTCACAAATGTGCAGTACGAGCTCTACCACTGAACTGCATCCAGCCCTTTGTTTTGTTGTTGTTGTTTTGGGGAGGGGGACATGGGTTTTTTTGCTCTGCGGCCTAGGTTGACCTGGAACTCACTATGTAACCTTGGTTGGCCTTGACCCTCAATCCCCCTGCCTTCTGTCTCCTGAGTTTACTACCATGGCCCAACTGGGTTTTGCTTTTAAAGATCTTGAGTTACGGACTGACAAGATGGCTTAGCAGATAGATGTGACTTGACTGCTATCAAAGTTGATAAACTGAGATGGGTCCCAGCACCTAATGGTGGCAGAGGAGAACTGACGCCTACAAGTTGTCCTTTGACCTCCACACTCGTGCAGTGGTCTCACCACAGCAAGGCACGTAAATTAAAAAAGAAAAAAAAAGTCGCCAGGCACGGTGGCACATGCCTTAAATCGCAGCACTCGGGAGGCAGAGGCCAGCCTGGTCTACAGAGAGAGCTCCAGGACAGCCAGGGCGACACAGAGAAACCCTGTCTCGAAAAACCAAAACAAACAAATTGAGACGATTTTTCTTATTCCAAGAACATAAACTATTTTACTCTTTAACTTTACAGTTGTTTTGAAGTGTCAACCAATCTGAAATTCATACACATACCATGTAGGAATCCATCTTTTCCCACCACCGACTATTCAAGTCTCTCCCTTTCCTGGTGACTTATAATGAACCCATCTCACACCATATTCCTTTCTAGGTGGGTTGCTTTGTGGTTTTTTTGTTTCTGTTTTGTTTGTTTGTTTTTGTTTTTTGTTTTGTTGTTTTTCAAGACAGGGTTTCTCTCTGTAGTTTTGGAGCCTGTCCTGGAACTTGCTCTGTAAACCAGGCTGGCTTTGAACTCACTGAGATCAACCGGTCTCTGCCTCCCAAGTGCTGGGATTAAAGGCATGCACCTCCAATGCCGGGCCTGCTTTGGGCTTTCTATAAATAATTGGATAACCAGTAAAACACTTCTATAACAAAGCTCACTAAAGTAAGACAGGAATGAGTGTGTCTACATTTAACAGCATATATACAAGATGGTATTCAGGTAAGCTAAATGTTGACAGAGAGAAGTCTAACCCAGCTTGCCACCAGCAGCCTGCCCACCAGACACACCAGTTCTCCTTGGGTATGCTTTCCTGGCCAGGATCTGCCCTCTGGTTTACAGACGCTCTCTCTGGGCTCAGACAACAGGGGCATCTACTGCCCAGGACTCACCTGGAGTTTGGCTATTTCCTTTCTGATGAGAAAGCTGACTTGGTCTCGGTCATTCCTGGAGTAATAGAGACGGCACCAGGATGGTTTCCCATCCCTGCCAGCACGGCCAGACTCCTGGTAGTAGCCAGCCATGGACTTGGCAATATTCCAATGGGCAACAAACCTGTAGGACAGGAAAGGACATGATACACGATAAGAGTGGGATGCTCTGAGGGGGAGTGATCCTGTCAGGAGGGGAGGGATGCTCTGAGGGGGAGTGATCCTGTCAGGAGGGGAGGGGGCTCCGAGGGGGAGTGATCCTGTCAGGAGGGGAGGGGGCTCCGAGGGGGAGTGATCCTGTCAGGAGGGGAGGGGGCTCCGAGGGGGAGTGATCCTGTCAGGAGGGGAGGGGGCTCCGAGGGGGAGTGATCCTGTCAGGAGGGGAGGGGGCTCCGAGGGGGAGTGATCCTGTCAGGAGGGGAGGGGGCTCCGAGGGGGAGTGATCCTGTCAGGAGGGGAGGGGGCTCCGAGGGGGAGTCATCCTGTCAGGAGGGGTGGGGGGTTCCGAGGGGGAGTGATCCGCGCTTACTCCCTGGTGGTCAGCAACAGGGGAACTAACACACAAGAGACAGATCCCAGAGTTGGAGTCAGAGTTAGTGGGTGACACGCCCGTGCCCCTCAACAGGCCTCTCTGCCACAGAGCAGCCCAACTTAGAAGCCATAGCACCACTTACAGGAGACATTCTAGTAAATGTGGCAAAATAAACAGATCAAAGCTGCTCCTCAGCTTCAGGGCTGCCTGTGGTCTCAGTTCTCTCTGACAAATGGGATGTACCCTCACAAACTGGTTTTCTAAAAATTGCTATCAACCTAATTAAACAGCTTGGTATGGAAAAAAAAAAAAAAAAAAAAAAAAAAAACTTGACAGCCAGTCTTGAAGGAATGGCCCAATGGCTAAGAGCACTGGCTGTTCTTCCGGAGAACAGGGTTCGAGTCCCAGCACCACATGGCAGCTCACAACCTTCTTGAACTCCAGGCACAGGGGATCCAACCCCTTCTTTTGGTCTCTGCAGGCACCAGGCACACCAGTGGGACACAGACATACACACAGGCAAAACACCGTTACACATAAAATAAAATGAAAAACAAAACAAAACCCTTAAAGCAAGAGGCCAGGATAAACACCAGGTTCAAGAACAGGCTGGGCAAACTGGGCAGCGGTGGCGCACACCTTTGATCCCAGCACTTGGGAAGCAGAGGCAGGTGGATATGAAAGTTGAAGGCCAGCCTGGTCTACAGAGCAAGTTCCAGAATAGCCAGGGCTACATAAGGAGACCCTATCTTGAAAAAACAAAAAACAGGCTGGGCATGTTGGTGCACACCTTTAACCAGGACACCCAGGAGGCAAAATCAGGTGCATCTGAAAGCATAAAGCCAGCCTGGTCTGGTCTATACAGGGAGTTCCAGGCTAGCTAAGACTACACAGTTAGACCCTGTCTCAATAAAGTGATCAGAGGCTAGAGAGACAGCCCAGCAGTTAAGAACTGGACTGCTCTTGTAGAAGACTTCAGGTTGAGTGACTCACAACCACCAGCTCCAGATTTAACATATGTTTCTGGCCTTTGTGGGTACTGGCGTACATGTTCACACACACATGTACACAAGAAAACTAAAAGTAAAAAATTGTTACTTATGAATTGCATGACCTTTATTAAGTGCCTACTGTGCATTTGCTATGACATGTTTCATTTGTCAGTCACCATCATGAGTTAGCCTACTCCAGAGATGATAAAGGCGATCGGAGAGGCAAGTCTGTGTGAGAACACCCAGTGAAGAACTAGGACTGGAGCTAAGAAAGGAGGACTTAAAGTCAACTGCTAACAAGCAGACTCCGATACCAGTCTGTTTTTTTTCAAATGTGCGAACGGTCCCAGTGAGTACAGTGACTAATTCCCACCGGTGGGATCAATGGCATGTGTGAAGAAGTGCCCCACAAATCACACATGCTACTGTTGGTGTGAGGACAAAGGGCTCCAGGCAGTGGTCCCTAAGGGTTCCCAAAGTCAGACCATGGCTGAAAGAAAACCCTTTCCCAGTGTTGCCAGAGTGAGACTCAGACGAAGATGGACCTGAGCTCTAGACTGTGAATGGATGGCGATAAAGTGTGAGTAATGAGACCGTCACTTGACTCCCTCGGGGAGGCTGACAGAGTTACTTGCTCCAGCCCCAATGGGTGTGGACCAGATCAGCGGTGGAACAACCTGATGACACTGCTGAGTTCCCTGGTTGGGAACCCGGTCACCCAGAAACTGTCAGCGTTCGGGCTGTACACAGGGACTTCCCTGGTGGCCTCCCTCCTCGGTGGCACTAACCAAGCACACGGACTTGGGACTTTGTACACAGCACCAGGCAATCTACTATAAGCCAAGCCCCAACAGGGAACATAAGGCAGGAACCACAGCTTACCGCACGTTGGCTTTGTCCACGCCCATCCCAAAGCTGATGGTCGCGACAATTACAGGGACCTTCTCCTCCATCCACTCATTCTGTACCCGTGTTCTATCAGGAGCCTTAAGCCCTGGAAAGGAGGGGAAGGCAGTCAAGGAAAACTCACATTTCCCTTGGGTTTATCTTTAGGGTGTGAGGAGTTATCTTGGGTTTGACACTGTCCTGAACATCTAACCTATACCCTGAATTCATCACCTCTTACCCATATGACCATGAACCAAGCACTTAATCTCACGGAACCTGAACCCAGCCAGCCAGGCATGGGGACACACGCCTTTAATCCCAGCACTTGGGAGGCAGTGACAGGATCTCTGGGTTCAAAACTTGGTCTACAAGTGAGTTCCAGAACAGCCAGAGATACAGAGTGAGATCCTGCTTCAAAAAAAACCAAATATAAATAAAAGAACTTAGCCCATGAGTGGCACAGAATATTCAGTAAACATGAGAGCCAAGAACTTAAGTCCACAGTTCTGCAAAGTCTGTGGTCTTTTTTTCCCCCTAATACCCGAGCCTCCCCACCCCAAAAAAAAAAATCAACTGTGGCCAGAGAGATGCCTCAACAGTTAAGAGCAACAGCTCCTCTTGGAGAAGACCAGGGTTTGAGTCCCAGTACCCACTCAGAGGCTCACAACCATCTGGAATTCCAATTCCAAGGGATCTGACATCCTCCTCTGGCCCCTGTGGGCAGTAGGCATGCAAGTGGTACACAGACAAGCTTGCCGGTAAAATACCCATACATATAAAAACAAAAGCCTTTGTCTGCTGGGTCGGCAGAGGGCAGAAGAAAAGAATTCAGGAGTCATAACTTTCTAGAGCCCTTTTAGTGGACTTAAATAGGAAAGAGAGCGCCCGGCTCTCAAAGGAGCAGGTGGAGGAAGTGTGAAGAGGCCCAGGTCTGACCTCTTACCTGCGTGGTAAGCCTTGGCGTTCACACCCCTGCAGCTGAGCTCCACAGCCAGTTGTTCACAAGCCTCTCTAGTCCTGCAGTAGACAATGCCGCAGCCAGAGGCCGGCTGAGCAGGGAGGGATGGGAAGAGAGGGATCAGGGAAGGCGGCACTCACTAGAGCATGGCCTGCTTTAACAGTCTTCTCTCAGGCTCATCACTTCAAACAACGAAGGGCCAATCCCGGCATAGTGGTGCGCGCCTTTAATCCCAGCCACAGAGGCCAGGCAAAGTCAGTACGGGGACCCAGGACATCAAAGGCTACAAACATGGTGAGACCAAGCGCGCACACGTGTGCGTGCATACATGTGCACGCGCACACGCGCGTACACACACACGTACACACACACACACACACACACACACACATATGAAGGACCAAACTGAAAATCCAAAACCCAGCCTTTTTTAACGCTCATGCCTCCTCTCTGAAAACCCCGTGCAGCCTGCCAAACATAAGGACCGTTCACCTGCCTCCCGTAGTGGACCAGAGAAGCAGTGAGGAAGGTAAATGCTAAGTTTTAGGGAGCCTAGCTAAGGTGACTAGAAACACAGAGGGCTTTGAAAACAGCAGCTGTGTCTGTACTACAGACAGCACTTAGGCATCCCCACCCCAGACCTCACCCCTTTATCAGCCTTCTGTCCAAGAGCCTTCATGCAGAAGTCCCTCAGGTTCCCATAGAGGTCAGGAATGAGTTCCTTGAACTGCACATCATAGAAGAGATTGGGCCGGAAGCAGGGAGTCTTGAAAGAGGCCACTGGTTGCTTCAAGTGTAGGGACGTAAACACATCCTCTTGAACCTGTGGGGTGGCTGTAGCAGTCAGAGCCACACACGGGGCATGTGCCAGGCGGGAACGTAGAGCACCCAGACGCAAATAGTCAGGCCGGAAGTCATGTCCCCACTGGGAAACACAATGAGCTTCATCCACCACCAAGTAGGACAGCAGGTTTCGGGCCATGAGGGAATTCAGGGTGGGCTGGAAGGAGGCTGAAGCTGCCATCTCCGGGGTGATGTACAAAAGTTTGGTCCGAGGTTTGTCTCGCTCCAGGTCAGACAGCAGCTCCTTCCTCTCCTGTACTGACAGCTTCGAGTTCAGGGAACTAACCTGTACCTTCAAGGCCAGCAGGTGGTCTACCTGGTCCTGAGAGTAGAGGAGAATATGAAGTTGAGTATCATCAGCCCTCAGGGCCAGGCAGGCAGTAAGCACAACAGCGTCTCAACCACAGAACACGGAGCAGCCTCCTCCTACATTCCAATACGTCTTCTCATTGCCCAGTATGGATAGAAAAACGGATGGGAGGACAGGCTTTGAGTCAGAAAGACCTGGGTACACTGCTGGCTCACTCAGCTGCCACACACTCTGCAAGTCAGTTTATTCTCATTCGCCATTTGTACCCCTCACTCCCACCGCAGTGACTACCAAATAGGGTTGTGACGAGAGTTAAATGAAAGAGCTTCTCGAAGGTAATGTGTTGGCATGTGCCTATAATCTCATCACTTCAGATGTAGAAGCAAGAGAATCAGGGGCCTGAGGCTAGCCCCACCTACATGTGAAGTGTGAGGCCAGCCCAGGCTATAGGGGACCCTGCCTCACAAGATAAAAAAGAAAGAACAAAGCCACATGCCTTTAAACTCAGGAGGCAGAGGTAGGCAGTTTTCTGAGTTCGAGGCCAGCCTGGTCTACAGAGTGAGTTTGAGAACAGTCAGGCTGCAACAGAGAAGCCCTGACTTGAAAATAAAGAAGGAAAAAGAAGAGTGAGTGAAGTGGATGCACATAGAAAGTATTCCTGCTGTTCTCCATGGCTCCGCCCATGAGGGGCTCTTAACCCGACTGTGCTTCCTCAACGCCACCAGCCCACCTGCAGGCACTAAATATAGCCAGAGCACCTGCAGAGCAGATACTAACAAAAGTTCCAGTTTCTCTCCATTGTTTGCTGCTGTAATCCCCATATCTGTTCAAAATAAAATACCAGACACTCCCCATTATCAATTAAAAATAATTTACTTATTTTAATTTTATGTTCACTGGTGTTTTGCCTGCATGTGTGTCTGTGTGAGGGTGTCAGATCCCCTGGAACTGGAGTTACAGACAGTTGTGAGCTGCCATCTGGGTGCTGGAAATTGAACCCAGGTCCTCTGGAAGAGCAGCCAGTGCTCTTGACCTCTGAGCCACCTCTCCAGCCCCCTATATCAAATTATTGATCTAGTCATTCATAATCTCCTTCTGTTATGAGTACACACAAGAGAGGGAATGTATGCGCGCAGAGGTATAGTTGGACACTTTGGGAAAATAAGCAATAGAAGTAAGGAACCTCAAGCTAGATATAGCAGCGCACGCCTTTAATCCTAGCACTCAGGGGGCACAGGCAGGAGGATCTCTGTGAGTTCAAGGCCAGTTTATATATGGAACTCAAGGTCAGCCAGGGCTGCACAATACCCTGTCTCAAAAAAAGAAAAGAACAAACAAAAACAAAAACTCAAACACTTATTATGACCCATCACAATGATGTGCAGAGTGCGGAACACTATATCTGGGCAACAGAGAAACTCAGTATAGTTACCCAAGCAAATCGGAGAAAAGAGGCAAAGGTCAAAAAAGAAGTGAAACTTCTTTAATTGTGCAGTGTGAGTGTGAGTGTGTGCGTGTGTGTGTTGTGCCTGAATGTATGTCTGTGTACCACATGAGTGCCTGGTGTCTGAGGAGATGGTGAGAATCCATGTCTGTGCTAGGAACTGAACCCTGGTCCTTTGCAAGAACGAATGCTCTTAACCACTGAGCCAACTCTCTAGCCCAAGAAGTGAAATTTCTAGCTATAAAATCCTTACTCTTCAAGGTGGGCCTGGTGCACGTACACATAATTTTAGCACTCATGAGGTAAGGGTTGGAAGTTCAAATTTAGCCTAGGCTTAAAAAAGAAGCTAGCAAGATGGATCTACAGGCAACGGTGTCTGCTGGCAACCATCACAGCCTGAGTTCAACTTCCTGTACCCAAATGGTGAAGGAAGACAACCAATATAAATATAATGTAGCAAAAATGTCCTTAAAAAACACACAGGACATAAAATTGAAAGTAAAATTGGGCAGGGGGACAAGGGGAACTAAGGAGGGGGGGCAAGGACAGGGTAGGGGAGTAAGGGAAGGGAATACATTCAACATGCAATAGACATGCAATAGACGCTTATCTGAAAACCGAACCACCAAAAAAAATGGTCAGAACAAACAAGCCAAAAATTCCTCTCCCTCGAAAGTGATCCTCTTCGGTTTTCATGTTCATTCTCCCAAGACTCACCTGAATCAAGGCAATGAGAGGAGAGACTACGATGGTGATTCCTTTGGCCAACAGGGCAGGGAGCTGATAACAAAGCGATTTCCCTGCCCCTGTGGGCATGCACACAAAAACATCCTTGTCACCTACAAAGACAGAAGAGAACATTCCAATATGTCCCGCCTGCTTTTACACGAAGGCCAGTTGAGGAACTAAGGGTGCTCACTAATAGATGGCTACTGGTGGGAGTGAGGAAGGACTCATTTTCTCTAAGGGATAAGCCACAGGAGTTCAACAACGCTCCAGGGACTATATGGACAACACAAATGGGATTTTTTTAAATCTTTTTTTCCTTAGGGGAGTGGGGAGGCCACCAGGTGGGGGGGGGGGCAGACCTGGGAGGACTGGGAAGTAAGGGTAATCGGATACATTCTGGGAAATTCCCAAATAATCCAGCACTCAGGAGGCAGAGGCATCTGCTTGTTTGAGGTCTACCTGCTGATTTTGGCTTCGAAATTTGTTTATGCAGATATTCAAAGTCTATTTTGAGGTCACAGTGCTTGAGGGCTTTGCCTTTAAAAGCCCTTCCTTCTCCCACCTCTAGGTGGCATGTCTCTGATTTGGGTTAGAGACTGGTCCTGCTAGCAGCTTTGATAATTTGGCCAATTACAATCTAAATTCAGTCTGGGAATCTTTCCTTGGTGTTCTTGAACTTCATAACAGTACTAAAAAATGGTCTGCGGTAGCCAAGGCTACAGAGAGAAACCCTGTCTTCAGAAAAAAAAAAAGAAAGGGAGGGAGGAAGGGAGGGAGGGAAGGAAGAGTCAGGCATGGTGACGCACACCTTTAATCCCAGCACTCAGAGGAAGCAGAGGCAGAGGCAGGTGGATCTCTGTGAGTTTGAGGCTAAGCAACCAAGGGCACTTATAAAGTGAGAACCTGTTTCCAACAAAGAATGAGAAGAAATACAAGTAGTCTTCAGTTGCTGGGATATGAATGTTTGGATTAAGCAGCCAGGGACGCAGAATATTGGGCACACCTGTGTAGGCACGCAAGGCTAGTTACCACTCAGAAGTCTATTTATACACATATCATGGCTTGTAACTTCAATCCCAGGACTCTGGAGGCAGAGGCAGGAGGGTCTCTAAATTCTAAGCCTGCCCTGTCTTGACAAACAAAAATTAAAAAAGTAAGCATATCGTTAATGTTACACTGGTGCTCCCACTGGACCGCCTCAGCCCCCTTATCTCCAGCTACAGTATTATTGTTCTCACTACTCAGTCTTCAGTGAGAGGATTACCTACACACAAACAAGAATGGGTGTCTAGGACCAGACTTCAGAGACAATCTGTAGGTCTTGCTATGAAAAAAACAAGCCAAAAACAAACAAACAAAAAACAAGTGTGGGTGGTTGTTATTAAAACTTCAACTCTGGCCAGGTGATGCTGGCAACGGTGATCATCTTTAATCTCAGCGCTCGGGAAGCAGAGGCAGGTGGATCTCTGTGAGTTCCAGGCCAGCCTGGTCTACAAGGCGAGTGCCAAGACAGACTCCAAAAGCTACAGAGAAACCCTGTCTCAAAGACAAACAAGGACAAAAACAAAAACCTCAAGTCTGTATACAGCCAGTCCCAATGGCCCACACTTGTAATTCCAGTATTTAATAATCCAGAGGCAGAAGGATCGGCTCAAATTTGAGGCCAGCCAGATGTACACGGGGAGTTACAAGCCAGTCGGGCTTGTCAATAAATAAATCAGAAACAGAAATCCATCACCAATAAACACCCCCTGGCTGTGGAGGTGAAACATTTAGAAACCAGTGAGCAAGGGTAAAGAGATGGGAAGACTCAAGGAGAGGGAGTTGTGTTACAGTGCTACTCCGGACTCTGCCAAACCGGGTATGTTACCTTTCACTACAGCCATGGTCGCACTCTCCTGTAGAGGTGTTTTAAAAGAATCAAATCCAAACACTTTCTTCAGGGCGCTCCGGACTCGCCGCTCCCGCTCCCGCTCGAAGGGAGTGGGGGAAGGGTGGGCGCTCATTTTAGCAAAAAGCAGCGACCAAAGGGTTAACGCAAAGGCGGTCAAAGGCTGTCACGAAAATGCTCCGTTCCACTTTAAAATATAGCCGAAGTTTCTTCTGCTACGTTACACTATAACATATCATTCTCATGCAGTAAAACCGAAGGTTGAATTGCTTCACGCAACACATCCCTAAGGGATTAACATTACTTCTCTCTTAATGAAAAAACAAACAGAAAAACACTGAACTATCCCAGGCCGGTAGAACAGACCTAGAAACTGGGCCACCACAAAAGCCCACAAAAGCCTTCAAAACTGCCAGGAGAACTTGGAATCCTTTTTCTCAGGTCCTTGTTCTACAAGCAAAGCCATAGAGACCATTCTTCCCTCCAGGAGACCGCCCCCAGCTTCCTTCCCTCTTCTTCCTCGGGGCCCTTCACCAGCCGAGTGCTCCCCACGATATCAGAGCCCAGGCTCCTACATGCTGGCCCCGCAGCTTTCTTCGCAACGCTCACTACACGCTAACTCTTGGCTCAGAAGCCAACTCGCTGCAGAAGTCAGCCGAGTAAAAGCCGCAAAACCCTACTTCCGTCCCGTGCTGATGACGTCTCCAAGCGCCGGGCCTAAGGGGGGCGGGGCCACCTCAGACATCGCCGTTTTGATTGGTTTCCATTCTGGCGCGGGGTCTGCTGGGATCAGGAGGAAGTTGGTTCTCGTGCACACAGATCGGCCTGTGAGTCATCGGCGTGAGCCACACCGTCCTGAGGGAGTAAGATGGCGGGGAAGAAGAACGTTTTGTCGTCTCTTGCGGTTTATGCGGAAGACTCAGAGCCTGAGTCTGACGGCGAAGCCGGGGTCGACGCTGTCGGCGGCGCGGCAGGTAAGGCCTGGGCTGGAAAGGGGGATCGGCGCCTGCTACGGTTAAAAATGCTGCTTCTCTGGGGAGGTTTGAGGGGAAGGGATGCTCATTGTGCTCCGGGTATCGGACCCTGGGACCCCAAAGCGCAGTCGATGTCCCGGGGCAGGCAGAGCATTAGGACCTGGAGTACAAATGATCTCCCTTCCCGCGAACCCGTGCCGGGCGTCGTGCTGGCCAGATCCGCACCACGGGGTGCCGCATCACTGTCTAGTCCCACCGTCTGGTTTGATGTGGTGAGAGAGTAGTGAAGCGTCCCCGGAGGTGATAAAACCTGTGTTGGTTGAACTGGTGACTTTTGTTTAGGAATAGGCTTTTAAAAGTAGATGCCTCGAACATGCGTGAGTGGTTCTGTAGCTCTAGGATAGAATGTACAGGACATTCCTAAGCCTTTTAAGGGTCCGTTACTTTTGAGTTTTCAAACCCTATTGGTAATCCTTTTGCCCACGGACTGGAAATCTCGATGGGAGTAGACTTCTGGCTTTTTTTGTTTGTTTGTTTGTTTTGTTTTGTTTGTTTTTTGAAACAGGGTTTCTCTGTGTAGCCCTGGCCACCCTTGAACTCTTTTGGTAGACCAGGCTGGCCTCAAACTCAGATCCTCCTGTCTCTGCCTCAACACCCCTGTTCATAATTTGGTCTTCCTAAGTTCAGAATCTGATCTGGGCCTGTAGTCACTTACCCTAGACTTAGGTTCCCTTTTTATTTTCAGGAATAATCTTGGCTGTGCACACCTTTAAACCCAGCACTCAGGAGGCAGAGGCAGGTGGATCTCTGGGAGTTCAAGGCCAGCCTGGTCTACAAAGCTACACAGAGAAACCTTGTCTCAAAAAAACAAGAGAAAGAAAGAAAGGAATGGATGAGTGAATCTTGGCGACTCAATTTCAGAAACATGTTTGCACCCCCTCCCCTCTTTCAGAAGAGAAAGGTGGCTTGGTGTCTGATGCCTATGGAGAGGATGACTTCTCCCGCCTCGGGGGTGATGAAGATGGCTATGAAGACGAGGAGGATGAGAACAGTAAGCAGTCGGTGGGTAAATCTTCCAGATCCAGAGCTGTTGAAAACAGTCCTCCATTCCATGGTTAACCCTGATCTTTTTTCCCATTTGGGAAATGTAGGCCATGGAATAGTGCTCTACCTAAGCATGTCAAGAGCTTGGTCTTCAGCACTGCGAAAGGAACACAAAGTTGAGTTGGTTGAGTAATAGTAGTTCCCTTTGAAAATTAAGTTGGCTTTTCGTCAGGACCATATAGTACTGACTTTGGGATTGTAATTAGGGATTGGGGGGGTGTGTTTTGTTTCAGTTTCTTTGAGACACAAAATTGCTGTGTAGCCTTGAGCTCCAGACCCTCTTGCTTCAGCCTCCTGAGAGCTGGGGTTATAAAGCGTGAGCCCCATGCGTGGCCCGGTTATTCACTATAATCTAAGTGTCAATGGGCGTTTCATGTTGGTTTGTGAGTTCAACTAGTCTTCCTACTTGTGTAAGTATGTTCATTCTTAGTGTATCAGTTACATGTCTGCAATCAACTTTGTATTATTTTTAATCTTTCTTGGAGTTTATTCAAAGCGCTTCGCTTTCTAACAAGTTAAGGAAGGGAAGCTATTTTGCTCTCATCCACTCTGATTCTTTTGTTGTATTTTAATCGGTGTTTTGTGACAGCACCTCTGGCTCCTGATCACAAACTTTCCTGGCACCTAAGAGTAGGAGGAGGACTTGTGTTCTCATTATCAAGAACATTTTAGGACACACGGCCTGGATAGTACAAATCACACTTTAAAATTTGGAAGGGTAAAAGGCAAGGAAATTAGGCTGATGCTTAGAACAAGAAGATGTCTGAGTATTGGTATTGGGTATTGAGTCTGGCCACTTAAAAGCATTGTTCATCAAAATGCTCGCAACATACTTTATTTCTTGGTTATATGTTTTTATGTAAATGTTAGCATTAAAATGCTTTTTAACTAAGTACTGTGGTCCATGCAGGCAATGCTAGCATTCAGGGTGCTAAAGCAGGAAGAGTGAAGATCCCAGAGCTTATATCTGTCCCAAATGGATGAGTAAATAGATGAAGCTGAAGACTGGGGGTGTAGCTCAGTGGTGCAGCTGTAGCACTTAGCTGGCATCACAGGGCCCTGGGTGTGAGCCCTGTTACAACGTGGAAACAAAAGCAAATAAAACATTTCACAGAATGTATTCTTACTCTCTTTTGTGATCATTTTTCATGCCTTTAGCTCCACCCATTGGTGATAATTCAGGGTTGAGTAAAGTAGCTTAGAAAACGTGTGGACTAAGGAAATCACTCCTTTGGTCAAGTTCTGTGTGTGGCATGGATGAAGCCACACACTTGTTCATCAGCATCCACTGCTTGCGCCAGCCTTTACGATTCATGACCTGTAATTCTAGCACTCGGGAGGTAGAAGAATGAGGACCAGAAATTCAAGGTCATTCTTACCTAGAAGGTAGGAAAGAAGGCAGGCAGACATACAAGTTTTGTTAAGTTTCTTGGCTTTTCTTAAATGTGTACGCGCTGCCTCAACACCCAGGACTGTTCTCTTTAGTGCATTTATTTGCGTGTGTGTTTTTAAAATTATTGACCCAAATTTACTTTTTTGTCATATTCAAGCTGTGTATGATACTTTAGTTTAAAACAAAGCTCATCACACCCCTCAGTATGGACAGTGGGAGCTGTGTTAGCATTTTGCCTCGATCCATCCGTCTTTGATTCTGTAGTTGATTCCAATTTAAGGAAGTCATGTAGGTGGCATTATGAGCCTTTGATTCCCTGACACTACCCAGAGCACGTGTCTCAAAACCATCAGTGTAGTTTGTTCACTCTTAGGTGCTACCTGTATTAACTTCCCAAGGGCTGTGTCTTGTTTAGGTTAAAATGTAGTAGGTGGTTCCATATCTACTTCCTAGCTTTTGACCTTAGGTGCATTTGTGTTTGGTGGAATTGTGGGCTCGCTTTGGAGAATTCAGTGCCCACTGACTTGGGCACTGACCTCATTTGGGTAAGGAACAGTGATCCGGGACAGTTATGTGAGCACTGCCCAAAAGGCTGTGCCTTGTCCTTTAGTCCTAAGTCTTTGGAGTTCGTGGTCTGGCAATTTGATGCCATATTTGTGTTACTGTCGATGCTTGAGGTGCTCGTTCACAGCACCTAGGTGTTAAACAGCATGATGGCAGTCTAATGTCAAAGAAGTGGTAGCGGTCATAATCCTGGCTTTAATCCTTGGAGTTTGCCTTTTGGACCCTGTGGCCTGGCCTGACAGTGTGGAACCACATGATTTTGTAAAGGAATTTTCACTGATGTGGACGGTGACACACTGGTTTTAGCGACTGATTCCCCCCTCCCCCCGCCCGCCCCAAGAACATCTCCTTTTCCTTTCTTCTTTTCCCCTAGCTCGGGGTTGCGTGGTAGGGAAGGGTTCTTAGTGGGATGAGCCCAGCTGGGTAGACAGGCTGTTTGCCCTACCGCTGGCTATGTATGTATATTCCCTGGGCCCACTCCTTTTAAGTTTAATCCTCTAAATTCTTTGTCTTGTAGGAAGATGACGATTCAGAGACTGAAAAACCTGAGGCTGATGACCCAAAGGTATTTGGTGTTGGCTGTGGCGGGTGGCTGGATTTGTCAAGGCTTTTCACGGTCTTGCCCAGTTGATGTCGGGTCAGGACCTGCCCCATTAGCACACGCAATGTGGATATTTTCTGGAATGGAGCCAGTCATGGGCAGCTTAATGAGGAGCCTTAAGGCCACTAGGAATCCTTGAAGGCAGTTGGACTTCTTGCCCGGATTCTGTGAGACTTTAGATTCGAAACACACGAGGCCTGCCTGGATCCTGTAACCCATGCATGCTCTACGGCCAGTGTGGGACTTGGTGGTTCGATGAGGGAGGGTTTCTAGAATCAAGGCATAGGACTCCCTTGTCTGTTGTAGTTCCTCTTAGATTCTGAGGGGTTGGGATCAACCTGAGGCCTTGCCAGGGTTGAGTCCAGCCCTCATTTCCCAGGGATGTGCCCTTCTGCTCTGAGGCAGTAATGCAGAGTGGTCCTTTTGGAAAGCATACCTATTTCTTCCCATAGGTCTGTCCTGCAGCAGCTGAGAGTAATGAGCAGTGATTCTTGTCACAGCCCTTAACAAGCCTGTGGTAATGAAGGCCCAGCTGCTTGCTGTGTACTCAGTATTGGAAGTGTACTTTTTGCAAAATGGTACTTTATGCTACATTTTCCCCCCAGGAGTAATCCATGGAGGAGTAAATGCCAGATATCACAATTGCAAACTGCTCAGATGCCAGCCGAAACCTTCAAGGGGTATAATGAAACTTAGGAAAGTTATGCCTGGTTGTGATATGGAACAGTGGGCCCTCATCGTGTATGGGTAATTGGGTACCAGGACACTCCACCATCGTGCCCTGTAGATACCCAAGCCCGTAGCTTCTCACAGACTATTTAATACTTTACCACTGTATATTTGCATATAACCTAT